GCTAGCATGTGACACTAACACACAATAAACACAAGACACAGTCAACACATTCTGTAACCTGTTGCCCTTTGTGGTTGGCATGTCGTGGTGTGACTTGACGTGCGATTATGCGATCGTGGATTGAGTGCAAACATTTTCCACAACTGGACAGAATAAGCCGTTTTTAAAGTAAAGCAGTGCAGTGTTCTCCTCAACATCCTGAGTTAAAATGCAAAGTTGAATGGAAGTTCTCTTTTTAAGGGGAGATGAATGGATTTTGTTTATGGAGCGGACATACCTGAATATAATCATGTATCATGCTGTTGCTGCTAACAACTAAAGCTGAATGCAGCAGAGTTAATAGCCTAAACAAAAACTGCAACAACAAAACTAGAGTCTAACTCAAATATTTGTATATAGTTTGTGTGATTTAGTCAGAACCATGAATGTCATATGATAATATCTCGTACTGTTCCTAAGAATATATTGAATAGAGGTCATTCATTTATTACTTTGATATTATAACTTTGAACCCAAAAGGTATCTTTTAGACTTTCTTGCACTTAATATACTGTGTTGCTGTAGAAATGTAAAACCCAGTTTTTGTGTCTCTGACTGTTGTAAACATCTAGTAACTGTTGCAAATGACCATAGTTAACAGTATTGTTTGCCATACTACTGCAGCACTGGCGCCATAACCATAAGACACTCCATTACTGCTTGAGTAAAATAGAAGGATTTATAAATTATAGATCGTCATATAAGTTAAATGCATCAAGTAGCGAGTATGGTCTAATGTGCATTACTGTAACATGTTGTTTTTATACATAATTGATACATGAAATATCAGTTTAATTCTGTTTTAATCATAAATATAAGACAATATGAGTTCTTTACAATTCATCCCAAAATCCATATGTTTAAAGAATACCTACAGGTATAGCATGTACTGGCCCTGATTTTATGTGAGTGATAAAAAGAAAAAGTATTATACTATATGTACCTCTGTGTATGTTTGAGTGTACTGTTTTGACCGTAAAAGGACAATAGTATAGTGCATGACTGAACGATTCAGGTTACTGACTCACACATACACAACAAGTTTTTTCACTATGTCACTAGTATCCCAGAAAGTACACACACACACACACACACACACACACACACACACACACACACACACACACACACACACACACACACACACACAGACTTTGGTAAGGTGGATCATTGTGTTTGTGAATATGTGTGTGTGAGAGACTAAAGCACATGGAGGACAGACGGCTTGGGTTACAGGTCATCTGATATCCACACAGACACACACACACACACACGCACACAAGTACACGCTGCAAACTCAGCAAGATTCAGGTGACATAGCTTTTCAGTGAATGTGTGTTTGAGTGTCAGTTTCAGTGAAGCAATACTCTCTCTTTTTGCAATGTAGGTCAGTTGAGCTTTCCTCTCGTTCTCTCTCCCTCTCCTGTGCATCCCAAGCCTTTCCTCACTCTCAAACCCCTGTTATCCTCTCTTTATCCCTCCCTCAAATCCCTTTGTCGACCCTCCTCATACTTTTCCTTCCCTAATTGTTCTGGTATTTTTTTTGGCCTGCAACATAACTGTTTCGGTTCACTCTCACCTCTCTTATCATGCACAGCACGCAGCTGTTTTCAGAAAAAAAGTTTTAAAATCCCATTCTAGCTACCTGCCTGGCAGCAAACAGCAGACAGACAAAGTTAGGATGACAAACCACTTTTCTTGTAGTAGTAGTTTACATCCTTTCTGCTGCAGTAGCAATCTAGCTGTGATATGTTGCTTGCCTTAGCACACACAGTTTTATATCTCATTACAAAATGCATATAATATTTCTTCTGGAAAGGAAGGAGGCTTTTTCACATGCACAGAGTGAACTGTTAGAAATGACGTGCCTCACTCTGAAGATAAAAGCTCTCGTAGATGGCAGCATAAACAGATCAGTGGCTGGATGTACAGACACTGTCAGTGTTAGATGTGACAGTTGATATGAAATGTCTCTAATCTAAGGGCTCTCAGACACATAGCATTCCTCTTATCTCAAAGTTTTAATTTGAGCAAGAGCTTGTTGAATAAAAGCACTAGTTTGGCTTATTTTCTTTGTTTATTTATCTATCTATACCGACACAGCACCATCAGTACAGTGAATGAGGTGTGGTACAGTGGAGAGACGGGTAGAAGATTCATGTGAAAGGAGGCCAAGAGACAAGAAGCAAAGACATTAGGAGACAGAAGATTAAGAACAGAAAACCATTAGATGGAAGAATGATAATTGAGAATGGAGTTATGAAGAAGGATAGGTGGGCAGGCTGAGGCAGGAGAGAGGACTCGAGTGGAGGTAGACTGAAGGAGGGAGAGGCAGAGAAGATTGCATCTCAGTGCTAAAACCTCACCGATCAACAGTACCTCTCAGTGCACCTCTGACTCATGCCTGCTTGATTGAACAGATGGTGTGTTCTTCAGAAAGTGCGTCTGTGTGCTCACTACCATAAAACACTGTGTGTTTGTGTGTGTGTGTGTGTGTGTGTGTGTGTGTGTGTGTGTGTGTGTGTGTGTGTGTGTGTGTGTGTGTGTGTGTGTGTGTGTGTGTGTGTTTACTCCTACGCCTGTCTCTGTGGTTGTGTTGTAGTAGCACTGCGACACTTCTTAAATCACAGGAATCTGCTTGGGATGCAAGATGTCCCTCGTCCTACAGAACTCTCACACACACACACACACACACACACACACACACACACACACACACACACCACACACACACACACACACACACACACATACACACATCACACACACACACACACACACACACACACCAATACACACAGGGAGTGCAATTAGTATCACTCTGCAGGAATTAGCAAATAAGCCTTAGGAGGTCTGGGAGGTGTTGACCCAGTCATTCTGGTTGAAAGATGAAATCTTTTGTGGCTTGGCAGCTACAGAGATCAGAGTCATCACCGATACAAGAGGTTGTGTTATGGGGTCTAATGTGAGTAGAGTTACAATTGCAGTCTTACATTCAATGATTTTACCAAACCAGTTGCATAAATGGTGGTTACTTACTTGCTTTTATAGCCATGTGACCCGTGTTTGCAGATTCTCAGCATTATGTCAAGACACATCATTTTTTGGATCAAAAAACCTTTTATATGTAGTTCTCAGTAGAAACTAGACCTTTCTTAGTGTTTGTTTTTTATGATTAGTCATGTGATTGGCCTTTTTAACTAAATATTTATGTTAAGTGTTTAATCATGTTTTTTCATCGTCTTATTGCCACAATGCTCATGTATTTCTGTAAGTTTAATTGTGCAAATTTCACAGTTGCATAAAAGTCCCTCAGCCTTTGACAATGTAAAGCGACTGACTTTGCCTCTCTTAACAGGAAATAAATTGACAAACCTTGTATTGCAGCCAGCGAGTTGTTGCTGTAACAACAGCAATGCTAGCTGCGCGTTTTTAGTTCGCGTTAGTCAGCTGATACACCGCCCACTTTCAAGTGTGCAAATATGAAGTCTAAGTGTATGTGCCGGTTTTGTTCACTAGTTAGTGAAATAGAGTGTGTGTTTGTGTGTGAACTTGTGCTGTGTGTCAGGGAAAGAACATGTGTCAGCATAATTGAATATGCCCAGGTGTCAGTGTTTGAGTAAGCAGGATGGTGTGTGTGTGTGTGTGTGTGTGTGTGTGTGGGTGGGTGGGTGGGTGGGTGGGTGGGTGCATGTGCTTGAAATGCTTGTACATTATTTATGAGATTCACACCAAGCTTTCCATCTTTTGCAGCAGGGGGTCCTCGCTAACAGATGGCACACACACATGTGGTACATACTCACACATACTTTATTGAGTACAACCCAGGCAGGTGCTGGAAACTTCTTGAAATTGTTTAGATTATTATTATTCGGGGTGCAAGCTTCTGGAAACCCATTGGATTATTTTTACTCTGGGCTCCCGAGTTTTTTTGGTTTATATTCTGTTTGTCGACCTTTATGGTAGAACGTATAGTTCAATCGTTTCTCTTCTTGGAGCCTGTTGCTGTGCTCCTGAATCGCTTGGTGCAGTGCATCATTTTGCTTTCCTATACCTTGTTTTTCATTTTCATGTCCTGTGTTTGCTGGAACCATGTATTGGTCTCCATCTTGTATTTTCACCTGGTTGCAAAACATGATCTAGGGTAGTTTAGTTTGCCATATCGTCATTAATAAATGGATGAATGGTTATCAGAAATCAGAATCAGAAATACTTTATTGATCCCCGGGGGGAAATTTGTTAAAACAAAATAGTCAAAAGTTTTGAGTTTTCATTTAGACTGAAAACATTGATTTAAAAAAAAAACTTTATGCTAACCAGTGACTAGTTTTTTCAATTTTTTGTTTTTTCTTCAGAGACAGTGTGAACGTACAGTAGACATCAGCAGTGCTCCTTTATGGCACTATACCCCAGACCAGGGTTACAGTGTTTTACTGTTTTATGCAGTGCATTGGGTAGCTTGCAGTATGTCATCTTTCAGATTCATTGAAAAACAATTAGCTGATGCAGTTTTAGGTTGCAGGAATTTTGAAAATTGGTCATAATGGTTGCTGTCTTGGTGAAAACAACCTGCCCACATAAAAAATATATATGAATTTGTATGTATTTATGTATTATTCATCTTTAGATCTAAGGCTTACAATCATATTGACAGATATTACAATTGCACAATTAGTGGGAATGATGATTTTTCAACACAGTTTTCATTTTCATTGAAATATATAGCAAAATTGATGATGTGACATTTGTTGGGGTTTTTACCAAACAAGCATGTTTTCTTACATCTGGAGAACAAGATTTGTAGGACAGGGAGTCTCTGCAGCACTATAATTATGTCACACATTTTACCTTTATCAAGAAATTGCAGTTTGCAGTTGATATCGATAATATATTATTATTTTATTGTACCGCCCTATTTAAATCCACGCCTTTTCCTAACAGTCTATCTTTCTCTTCCACAGGATTGTGCTGGGTGTCGGCAGGCTTGCTTTTGCAGGGAAATGATTCCGCATGAAGTGCGACGCACTCGGCCCCCCGTCGTCCTCGGCGGCAGCAGCAGGTGTGACGTCGTGACACTCTCCCCTACCACACTGAGCTCACCCTTCAGCCGCTAAAGACCCCTGGACCAAACAGACCGCCCTACCCCTCCCCTCTAACCACCTCTCCATATCTTCATCTCCATCTTTAATCCTTCCTCACCTGCTTGGTAGGGCCTGGATTTTCTTTGTTATCAAAGAAAAAGACCTGGTTCAACGGCCTTGGGTGAAGTGGATAGAGAGTGAAAGAAAAAAAAGTGTGGGAAAGTTCATTCATCGTTAATTAAAGTGAGACAAGGGGCAGATTATCAAAAGTGAGAAAAAGAGAAAAGAAAGTAAAATAGAAAGTTAGAGAGAGAGAGAGAAAACAAAAAAGGAAGATAAAGCTATAGAAGTCCAAAAATTAAGGAATTGCAAGTACAGTTAAGGGACGTGAGGCGAAGTCAGCATGAAGTCCAACCAGGAACGCAGTAATGAATGTCTGCCCCCAAAGAAGAGGGAGATTCCCTCAAGTACATTACCATCTGAAATTCGCTCACCCATCATGCCACCTGCCAGTGACAGCCAGCGCACAGAGAACATGGCCTGGCTCGCCAGTGTGGCTGGTGGCAATGAGAGTGGCGTGGGTGGGCACCGTAGCTCCAGTCAGTCTGACGGGCCCCAGTATAAATCCCTCTTCTCCACATCAGACACTTCATCCTCCTCTTCCTCACTGAGGTTAGTCTCATCTCTTCCTACAGTGTATACATCCCCTCTGTCACAGTCTACAGTTGGAGGAACTGTCCATTACACCCAACTGCCTCCCAACCTGCAGTTTATAGCCTCCCCCTACACTGCCCCATACACAGGCTACATCTCCCCTCAACTGCTTCCACCTCCTCCTCCACCTCCCCCCCTCTCCTCCTCCTCTTTGGCCGCACAGAGACCCTCACACACAGAGACAGTCTGTGCTCCTTCGCAGGCCTCAAAACATGACCAGCAGAGAGCATCCACGGGGCGTACCTCCATGCCTCCACCTTCTTCAGACCCTGCCCCTCACCATGTTCAAATGTCAACCTCCCCACGGACTGTGCCGTCGCCTCATCACCAAGGAGGCGTTCACCTTTCTCCCCACTCACTGCACCACCACCATACTTTGGGGCATGGGATGTCCCAGGTTGTGGTACAGTACACGGATGGACCCACCAGGAAAGAGGAGATTGGCACCAGACCCAGAGAGCTCCACAATGGAGAGCTGGAAAGGGGCCGGCGGTATGGAGCATCCCCTGAGTCCAGCCTCTCCAAGCCAGGGAGCAAATCACGAGACACCGCTTTGTCCTCCTACGAGGCACGCCAGCTGGTTCTGCCATCAGAGTACTCTACTCATGATCCCTCAGGGCTGAGAACATCTATCATGCTTATGCCCAACAGCCATGGGGACCACCAGCTGGTACCACCCAGAGCCAGCCCTGAGAAGGTGACAACCTCTGCACACCTGGAGAAAGGTGGCATCATCCTGGGCAAGCCTGTCAATCGCACATCCTCCTCCTCCAACACCACCTCCTCTTTCACGTTTCCACCCCCATTAAGTGTCAACAGCCTGAAAGCTGCTGTCAGCACACTGTCGCCCCAGACCGTTATCCAGACCACCCACAACGCTACAGAGTCACTGTCAATGGGGCTCCCCTCCACCAGTATCTACCCTCAGCCACCAATCATTGGTTACATCGCGGGGGGCAATGGGAGCCAGCATACGCCAATCAGCTACCACACCAGCCTACAACAACACTTACTCATTCCTGGCGCCCAACCGGTCATTATCCCTGTTAGTGGAGGTGGAGTCACCACATTGGAACCTGTAACTTCCCACGTAACATCATCGACCCAAGCCGCACCGTTTCCTACCACACTCCCACACACATACATTGCTGCCACTGCCACCAAAGGAGAAACTCTGGAACCCCACAGCGGCCACTATCACCAGGCCACTTCGAGTGCAGTGGTCCAAGCTCAGCTTCATCTGCCCATTGTTCCCGGTCCGCCGGGTCTGGTTGCTCCTTCTGCTCCTCCGCCCACATCCAGTACAGTGGTGCCCCCTTCACTCCCCCCATATTTCATCAAGGGCTCCATCATCCAGCTGGCTGATGGAGAGCTGAAACGTGTGGAGGACCTGAAGACAGAGGACTTCATCCAGAGTGCCGAGATCAGCAGTGAGCTGAAGATCGACTCGTCCACAGTCGAGCGCATCGAAGGGAGCCACACCTCACCCAACTTTGCTGTGGTTCAGTTTTCCGTTGGTGAGCACCGTGCACAGGTGAGAGACATGGAGCAACTGTTATTGAAGGAATAGACATTTTGGAAAAGTTTGATTGACATCACTCTTTAGTCTGTGCATTAACAGTTGAGCCTGGCTCTCTCCGAAGTTGAGAAATACTACCTCACTAATTAACAACTTTTAATTTTGTTTGTTTAACCCGTACACAAATGTAAAAACGTCGAATTGTGGTTTTAACAAGCTGAAACTATCGCACAGTCCTGGAGAACTTTTCATTTACATTTTGTTTTTGTAAAGATCAGTGATACAACATTTTTATTTTCATTTATAAGCTTTGGAGGTGTTAGTAGCTAATTCACAAGTTCTCAGTGCTGTCTCCATTGTTAATGCACAGACATGAGACTGGTATCAATCTTCCCGTCTAACTCTCTGAAAGAAAGTGAAACTCATCCTGTAATGCTTGTTTTTAATTTTACAAAGCATGATGAAAGTTTGCTAACCATAGTTTATTTCAGGACCCATCATTATGAATGGTGCTGAAACCTTTAGTCGATTTAAAAGATCAGTGGAAGAACAGAAATAATTTAAAATAATCGATTAACTCCTCTATCAAGTCTTTTCCTGAAGTTTTTATGTTGAAACACGTTTTACAATGAAAACTGTATAAAAAAATATCATGCAGTGCCAAGCTAATCAGCCCAGTTGTATCATGGATCTCTAAGAAGCCTTTTATGTATACTCTTGGCTGGTGTTATTAATGTTGAATGACAAGTGTTGAGCTGCGCCCGTATTAATGACTCTATAATCGTGAATCTCACAGGACTCCGCTATTCCCCTTGCGATGAAGTTCAATGTACTAGCAAGGCAGTCATGTAACAAACATGTTCTGATTACGAGCTTTAGAGACAGATCAAAGAGTCGACTGTTGAAATTTACTCATCAGGTTTTCTTTCAAGTATTCAGTGAAGCCAGGAGCACAAGTGCACTGATTCAGCAACACATTCCTGCTTTATTTCTACATGTAATACTTTGCATGTTTGAATTATTTATCTATATATGTGTGATTTAGGTCTGTAAAATACCTAAAGTACAGACGTAGGATACATGCTTTATTCCCAGATAATGTTTTGTACTTGAAAGGTTTAAGAGGCTTCATCGAACCCTTACTTTTCAATCTCTCAGTAATCTCTTAACATGTAATACTATGCTACAATTTATCCTTCTGTTATCTGTCTGTGGTTCTCTCTTACTCCTTCAAACACACTCACACACACACACGCACCCTTCTCACTGTCTTTGAGGGTGCGCGTTAAAGCCAGTTAATCTATTTCATCTGTCCACGCTGTGACTCGTCCGCCCACACAGCACATCTCTAACCATCTCTCCCGCCCCCGGCTGCTCTTTGATACTGTACCCCACAAAAGCTGACAATCTTTCAAAGACTTATCTTTCTCTCTTGTACGCCATCCGTGGCTCTTACTTTTTTTTCTTTCTTTTCCTGAGAGGTGGTAGCAGCTTTGAGTCCACACTCGGAGGACTTTACTCTGAGAAGTCAAAAATTATATAATACAGGAGGGAAAATATTGCCTGATGTTTGCTTTGAGAGGGTGTTTGATACATCTTCCACTTGTATCATTCTTGACATTGTTTTCCTTCACACTCTCTTCCTCACTCCTCTTCTCGTTCTACCCACCCTCCCTTTGTAATCTCGCCTTTTCGTCTCCATCTCAGTAGCTTTTTCCACTCCCACCATCTCATTCTCTCTACAATATTTCAGATATTCCTTCACTTCATCTTCTTTCTCCTCAGGTTTATTTTCTCCCTCGCTCTATCCATCATATCGCAAAGCCTCCACTGCGTCTGTCATCTCTTCATTCTGTCATACATACAAATCATAAAGCAGACACCAAAGTACAGAATTGAATCCAGAGGAATTACAATCTCTTCACAAAAATATGTTCCATCCTCTTCATTGATTTTGGACCACAAGGCTTCATTTTTGGGCTGATATTGTTGAAATATTTTGCCCCTTTGGTTACAAAGATAATTCTTCCTAGTAATGATTAGGTGGATTATGGCTGTCAACCAAATCTGATCAAACCACACCCATGCAGTCCTGATGAAGCAGATTAGCCACTTTGTCTACCACTTTAAGTCTAATACTAGTGTTGAAGTGGTAGATAAATTTTTTTCATTATGAATTAAAAGCACACATTAAAAGCACAATCATGTGCGTTTAGAGTCGTTCAGTATAAGCCTTGCTTCATTATGCAGTTCCGAGACTTATATATGGACTAAATGAATGAACAAACTTGATGTTACTCCCCCCTCCACCCGACACCAACCCCGATGTAGCTACTTGTTTGACTCAAACTATGTTATTACTATGCAAAGCACATCATTACAATAGCTTTTGCCTGTCCCCAAATTCCCTATAACATTGTGATGATTTCAGTTTACCTCTTTAGTGAACATTTCTTCTTTCTTTCGATTTCTTCCTAAATTAAAATGTTATTGTTGCTTATTTAGTCAGGACTATTTAAAGTTCTGGAAAAATACTATGTGTTTGAAACTAAGTTTTTAGGGGCTTAGAAGTCTTTGTCTTGATGTGTCTTTCCACCATTCCCTTTCCTCTAGGTGAGTGTGGAGGTCTTAGTGGAGTACCCCTTCTTCGTCTTCGGCCAAGGCTGGTCTTCATGCTGCCCTGACCGGACCACCCAGCTTCTGGAGCTGCCTTGCACCAAGCTGTCTGTGGGCGATGTTTGTATTTCACTAACCCTCAAGAACCTGAGGAACGGATCTCTGAAGAAGACGCAGCCCCTGGAGCTGGCCACCCCTGCTTGTGTCCCAGCCCCCAGCCACGGGCACCTCAAACCCCACAGAGCTGTCTCAGACGCTCCCCAAAGCTGCGGTGGAGGAGGCTCCAGGCACAGCGAGCGGGAGAATGGCATCAGCCAGCGAGGGAAGGGTGGAAGTGGCAATGGGAGTGGCACCAATGTGGAAAACGGAGATCTCATGTTTGGAGAGAGAGGCTTAGTTTCTAAATGTCAGGTTGCCGGTGGTGCAGAAGCTGGCTCCAGTAAGCCATCAGGAGGCAGGAAGCGGAGATGGTCTGCCCCTGAAGGTCGAAAAGTAGAAAAATCTGAGGAGGAGCCACCCTTGACCCTGCCCAAACCTTCCTTCATCCCTCATGAGGTGAAAGTCAGCATTGAGGGAAGGTCGAATATTGGCAAGTGAATGCTCGCAGGACTGTTAAGTAACCATTGGGATTTGGAAAAAAACAGAAAAGGATTCTACAAAAAAAATCATGAATGCCCACTTTAATGTTTCATTTGTCTTGGTTTTAAAGTTTTGTTTTCTGTTTTTATTTTTCTATCTTGAATACTGTACTGTAGAGGTAAATTTACCCTACATGGTATCACCTTACATTAAGTCCATGTAGTTTATAACACTTTTTTTTTTTTTTTGTAGATGGATTTGATATCACACAAGCAATCTGTGCCGTTTTGGTGGTTTTCACAATATGACTTATGGTGAGGGATTAGTGAAGAGTGTTTGTTGGTGGCTGTGTGGCACACAGGAGCAATGCTTGATGGCTCTTCTTGGCTGGATACACATTGCAGGTTATGTAAATTTGAAATTGAATTAGCTCTCAGTTAGTTTCTTGACAGTGATTTCACTCCCTGTGCACTGCTAGTGAGGCCGCCTGGACGAAAATCTTGCCACGCCAGTGGTTTTACACTGGACCACAGGAGTGATATAATGTCAGCTGATCCTAAGCATGAAGGATTTGTGGGTAAATCGTGAAATTTTTCATCTGCTGAGTGGGAGTAAGAAAAACATCCTTCTCCTTTTTTTTTTTTAGTATAAACATAGCACGTGTTATTCACCGTGTCATCAGGGTGTGCCAGACCTGATCAGTGATGTCATCAGGTGGTACCAGTGTGCCACACAATAGAGAGGGAACAACACTGTTCAGTTTGATGATGGTGGAGTCTTTACTTTCATCTTATTTCATTTACATTTTTTTTTCTTAAACCCCTCGTCTTCTATCTGACCAGATAGGTGTTTTCAATGATTGTCAAAAACCTTAATCAGGGGTCATATAGTCCTAGATTGAACCTAGGTGGGTCATTGTTAATGTGTAAATGTGAGATACCCTAACCTGATACATACAAGTGCAAACACACTGGGTTGGCGAGCTTCACTTTAAAAATAATGTTAAGAGGAAGACTTCATACAATCCTCATCGTTTTTTGATGAATTTCTTTATATTTTTTTAAGGAGAAAGGCTGTGTGAGAGAAACTGAGAGAATCTGCATGTCAGTTCCGAGAGGGTCGAGATGATTCAAAGCACTTAACACACCTGTCACACTCACCATACAGCCGACACATATTTGTTGTCTCTTTATTTACGCAGTACTGTATGTTTTAAGATTTTCTTTTTTATGTATATATATCGACAAGGGTAGAAAGTAGCAATAGCACTTTGGAAAGGTGAAGCTTTTGGAAAAGTGAAGGGGTTGTTTGGTAACGTGGGAGCGGATGTGCCATGGAATCACAACGAAAGGGATGATTGTGACAGGTATTTGAGAAAATTCCAGTTAGGTTAGAGAAGCATTTATGGCGACAAAAGGAATAAGAAATATGATGTTTTTCTTTAGCATGTGTGCTTGTACAGCTGGCCATGCAAAAAGTTAGGGAAAAGTATTGGAATGTGTTTTGAAAGATTGGGATCTGGTATAAGGATTAACAATGAAAAGGCTTTGAAATATCCCACTGATGTTCTGTACTAGACTAGAGAGCATTAGAAAGAAGTTCACGCCACAGAATTTTGAAGGGTGTCATATATTTGTAATGTATGTGTGCGTGTGCATGATGCTGGTCTGTGTCTGTCCATACACACACACACACATTCTTACACAAACACAAAACAGTACAGACTATCCCCCGAAACTCAATGACCTATAATATGTACTGTATTTGTTAATAAGCATTTAGATGAATGCAAATGCTTTTTGGTGCATATTGTCCCTCCTGCAAAGACACTAGTTGACTGACATTGGATTAATGCACACTGTTAACAGTACAGTTGTACAGAAAGTGTTTGTGTATGTGTGTGAGTTTGTGTATGAGTGTATGTATACTGTGTATAGGAAAAGGATATACTCATTTGATATATAGTCAGTGCTAAATGTCCAGTGTTTCTACTTGGAGTCGTACTTAAGAGAATCTTGCAATTTGCACATCAGGAGGAGGGAGAAGGGTGGAGACATAATTTTTAACGGCCCTGTCCTGAAACGAGCCCTAGACCACGTAACACACTGGAGGAGACCAGGGTTTTAGTTCCTCAACAGGCACTTATCACATTGTAGAGGAAAAGTTTCTACATCATGCAGTTAAGGTCAAATTACATTTGAGTTTCACAAACATAACCATATCTGTAAACCAGAATTTTAATATGTGCCTGCCTACTGAATTTACTGACTTTAGTTAAAGATATACCATTTGTAGTGTGTGAAGGAAAATTGAGACTTGTTTGCCCACTTTTCCTGCTGTTGAAACCAGGGTGTAGGGACTAGGGTGCAGTTTTGAGCACGGCCTGTGCTTTCAGCCAGCTGAAACCCTATTTTTGCTAAGATGTAGCAGTTACCTCAACAGATGTGCTTGCTTGGTTGTTCCAACGTTTAGAGCTTTGTAAGCAAAGCTTTCTCAGTTAAACATCCTCTCAGGCTTTTTCTTGCATATGAATGCCCGAGTTCTGTTCTTTTTCTGAGCTTGGTTTTTAGAGATGTAATGTGAAGTGTGCACCACCTGATGATCCTTTGATTATACTGCGTAAAGTATTGTCTTTATTTTTTCTCCAACGTCAGTGTAACTGAAATACACTGATGTTTTAGATTTGACAAATTGAAATTCAAAATGAAATTGGCAAAAATGTATCCGTGGTGGTGGACACACGTGGTCTGGGATTCAATATGTTCTGATTGTACGGTGCCATTCAACATGTAAGTGTTTCTCTCATGCTGCATGTAACAATGCAGTATGATCATGCACTGTAGTTAGATTAGCATGTGCAGGTTGCTGGCATAATAGTGTTGTTAAGGAGGTGGAGAAGAAGGTGGCTTCCTGCGGGCATATCTGTTGAGCTTTCTACTCAGCCACTGTATTTAGGTGTGAGGTATTTTTTTTCTCTAAGAAGTGAATCAGTCATATTTTCATCCCACTGATAATGTCGGTTTAGCTGTGTGGCGGCAACGCTGTTTCCGGTGGTGGGAGTGTACCAGGGTGATGGCAGGATAGATGTGTGCTCAGATGGATGAGGAATGGATGGATAGGTGGTTGAATGTGCAGATGGATGGTGATGGTGAGTAGACCCCATAAGAGATTTGAAAAGGCTTTATTTTTTTATAATAAAACAGGGTTTCTCAGATCAACACCACCACAGTAGTGCATTTTCATTTCTTCCTTTTCCTAATGAAACATCATGATCATTAATAGTGGAAAAAGGAGTACGTTTGTGTGCGTGCATGTTTTGCAATCTGTGTGTGTGCGTGACTGTATGTTTTGTAAGTGTTTGTTCTTCTTTTTTTTCTTTTTTTTCATATTACTTGTTTTTTTGTCCAAACCCCCTTTTCCCAACAAATGTAAAAGCAGAAACACAACATCTAAACAAACTTATCAGCCACTCAGACCAACAAAACCTTTACTGTCAGGTAAAAAAAAAACAAAAAACATTTTTAGCCAAAGCCAAGCGATGCTTTTGTTGCTTTGGTTAGTTTAGAAAGCAATAGTTCGACAATATTCAGGCACTGCTTGTGTATAAGTGGACACACACACACACACACACACACACACACACACACACACACACACACACACACACACAGTCATTCCACTCAAATTCTCTGCAATAAACATTTAATAATAATCCTCTAGCATTACAACCAAAACAACTCCTCCTTTCTTCCCTTAGAGAGAAAAACAATCTTGTCACATACTGGAACTTGTTTTTAGAAGCTAATATACCTGAACACGACTCTCTGCTTCAGTTAACACTATTCCCTCTTATCATAAAGTCGATTTAAACATAGAAATCGCAGTTGGAGCTCCAGTTGCTAGTTTTTTCAGGGAAGTGTCTCATATATGCAGTAACTGAACATAACCCCCAAAACCTCCACTGTCCCAGCTGGTCCGAGTCCTGAACTCTGTTGTCAAGCTTGCAGGTGAGCGTATGTCACGCGCACCTGAAAAGTAACCAGCAGACGTTTTTGACTTCGCCCAGGTCTGCCTCGTTGCCACGACTCCCGTAGTGACCTCGTTAACTTTGTTTCAGGTACCCAATCATAGCCAGCCAGCCTCACAAGCACCTCCTCCTCCTCCTGAGGCAAAGCAATCAATTAACTCTCAACAACCGTTAGCTACCTTTCAGTGTGGCCTTGCCTGGATATAACAGGGCTGGCCTGGACTGCCTGTTCCCCTCGTAACATCAACTTTTGATATTCGGTCTCCTTTACTAGCTTATACAGGTCATTGTGTTTATACTTAAGTGGAAATGCATGCTTAATAATAAGACTATGAAACAAAGCAATCTGAATTGTAGACACATTGTGAATGCAGGAGAGGTGAACGGCACATCATTACGTTTTTTGAGGGTTTGGTGTAGTTTTAATTTTGTTAAGATAATCCCAAGTTTAACCTTTTTATCCCCTTGAAATGTACCACAATGTGCAATACTTACATTTTGTCCCCCACCCCACCCTTTGCTGTGCCAAGTGTATGTAGCATAGTCCTACTCCAGTGTCTCATCCTTTCTAATGGCTTGTGTATTTTACTGTCTGTTGATGTGTGTGTCACATCTGTAAAGCGAGAGTCAGGATGTTCGTGAAGAGAAACAAAACCAATGGAGAGTTTGTCTGTACCTCTCTTTCCCTTTTGTCCTTGCGGCCTTCCTAAATTTGAGTGTGTGAGAGACTGTGTCATGTCTCCTCTGTATGTGTGTGTGTGTGTGTGTGTGTGTGTGTGTGTGTGTCTGCACCATATGTCATGTGTGTAGTATGTGTGCTTGCGTACACCTGTGTTCAAATGTGTATGAGCGTGTTAGGGTTTTGAGTGTATGAGGCATGTGTGCGTAATGGAGTGTTTTCTCCTCTAAATGTCTGTGAGATCGTAAACCCTGACCCTCAACGGTTCACGGTGAAACCCACAGAAAAAAGAAACCTCATTGCTAGTGGGGACCACTTTTGTAAAAAAACGAAAAACAAAAAAAGTTTTAAAAAAAATAAATAAATACAACAACCAACCAACAGAGATGCACATGTAAGTAGATGTAAAAGACTTGATAATGTTTCAGCACTTTCTAATCCTAGGATGGGCTTGGTCTAACCCCTCTGTCTCAGACCGATACCTTCCCTAGGGGTAACATTCATTCAAAACAGACAGAGAGAATGAGAATGAAAAAAGGAGGAGAATAAGGATGAAAAAAAAGAGAGATGGCTCAGTTTAAGTTTTTGCACATCACCTTGCCGTAACCTTGTGTTTATCTGTCTGTGCTCCATCTCGCTTGGCGCCCGGCGCGTTCTTGGGTCCAACGGGCCGAGGTGTTAGGTGGTTCCTTGGTTCTTTTCCACTAGGAAAACCTTTTCTCATGGAATGCATCCCCTCTTTTGTTGTGTTCGGGTTTGTTTGGAATCTTTTCCACCGTACACCAACCAGGCTGTGCCCTTAATTAGGCTTTGTTTTGTTCACATTTTTGAGTTCTAATTCGGCAGATACGTTTTATTTGTTTGCATTATCTTTGGTGCAGGAGCTTTTTCTGTGTTTTTGGTCTCCTTGTAGCACTCAGTATAATGTCAGGGGACTTACAACTATGTAGAGAATGTGTCATTGTTGAGTTTTTATGACAAGCTTCCTCACTGGAGGAACACTGCTAATGTCTTTTTTTTTTCTTTTCATTTTTTTAAATTGGCTTCTTGCACAGTTTTACAAATAATATGAATGTTGGTGTGTGAGCTTTGACTTTTTGATCAGAAAAAAAGGCATGTGTGCTCTTTGTTTCTTGATGTTTGTACTTTCATTTTGCAAAAAGGATGTGTTTTTGGCACTTTGTCGTGTTTAAAAGTGAACAGAATTCGATCAGGATTCCTTTTTTTTCATTCTTTTTTTTTTTCTTTTCCTTTTTTTGTATGACGTCGTCAATGTCCATAGCGCTGGATAACCAACTCAGGCAGAAAGAAAAAAAAATACTTGTAGAGACCCACTTAACAGTTTAGTTTCACCCCAATCAAATTACATAGTGGGCTGTTTCATATGGGTTATAAGATATGTAAATTTATTACATATAATTTGATATGATTAACAAATGTCATTATTGACAATTAACTATGAATTATTATTATGATATTATGTGTATTATGCTGGAGATGGCTTTGATTACTCTTCAGTGTACTGAACGTCTTTGTTCTGCCTCTCTGTGCAAGGCAACAAACACTTCAGCAGGGGACAGGCTGTACGGTTCGTGACCTCTGACCCTGCCCACTGCCACGGATGGGGTGGAGCTTATCTGTCAGCTGTGGCTCATTTGATTCCTCCCCCCTGTTCTGAACACTCAGCCCTGAGGCTAGCAACCAGTCTGTCTAGATGTTTCTCTGCTAACCTGTGACACCAAGTACTGAACTAAAACTTTTTGGCCCTCGAGACGTTGGCAGAGAACCAGACATCAGCACAGACCTGCACGGACAGTCTGGCCTGCAGGGAGCCGCAGCAGTTCCCAGCCAACTTGTTTGTACTATATTGTACTCACCAAGTCCCTGTGTCTCACCACCCCTTTCCTCTATAGCAATGGAGAAACCCTATTGGTGTATGTATTTGACATCTGTACAAATGCACCTCTTTGAAAAAGAAAATGAAACCTTGACATATCTGGAATAAATGGGCGACTTGTGTCTTTATTTAACACTAACAAACACACACCCTGCTTTTAAAACCTTATCTCCTATTAGCTATGATGTTTTTCCTCCACTGATTTGGCTTAGTGCGGAAATTGAGCAGAAAATAGCTCCCTCTTGTGTACAATAGGCTGCATGACATCCCAACCTTTTAAAATGGTGAAGACACAGAAGTTGTATGTTGGACTAATGTATGTTACATGAATAAAAGCAAATAGAGGACACACTTTACTGTACCAAAGTCCCTGTCATTGTAAAGTACAGAATGATGAAGATCCTGCACATTTCTCTTATGGGCTTAAGAATGAATTACACAGCAGAATAGATACATGCAGGGGCGTCCCACCTGTGAGAGCGCGCACCCCCATGTACTGAGTCTTTACCAGAGTTATTATAGTTTTGTATTTTTCCATTAGTTTTCAATTATTTCAGTTTAGTTTCAGTTTGTGGGTCTGCTTGTTTCAGTTTAGCTTTTATTGTTTAAACATGTTTTTTTGTAGTTTCAGTATTATTGCAGTATTTATGATGTTCATGGTATTACAATATAAACACTCTGAAAAGGCAGTTGACTCACAGTCATGTAGATATCCCAGTCTCAATAAACACATGCACTAATGCCTCCTTAAGAAATTTTCTGTATATATTTATTTGCTTTTTAATTGTTTTGTAAGAAAAACGATGTTTTAGTTTTATTTGATTAAGTCATTGCTTTAAATGACTTTTCCCTAAAGTTCCTTGCTTTTTTTTAAAGTACAAGAGAGCAACTCTTCAATGCAGCAGAAGCCACAGATCCGCCCTTGATTTACAATGTCAGGCACTGTGGAGGCAATGAAGTGAACTTCCGCATGCACAGCGGAGTCAATCAAGTGTAGTGCAAGTGTAATCTGGTTCAATTCAAATATGTCCTGTTGGAATACATAAATCTACAGGTCTTCATGTTCATCTCGCTCAGTGTAATCTTCCTGACACGCACAAAAAATATGATTTACACAGTTTATAAACAATTCACAGAATGATCAACACCAGTGAGGAAATTAGCAGAAGGTCCTGCATGCAGTTTATTGCAACATGATTTCTCCAGTGACAGTTAAAGGGTGACGTCTCTGAACATTGCATATTGATTTACACATTCATTCCAACATACGCTTTAGAAGTTTCCCCAAATGATCTTAGCACGAGTATCAGCCTCCCCCTGCTGAGTGTGTTTACATGCGATGTGTTAGCTTGCATTCTCGTTTATTCTCGATATGCTGTTAATCTAGACTACTGTGAAGTTAAGTTAAAAGAGTATTTTGAAAGATCAGCTCTGAAGTACACATGCCTCAGTAGTCTAGCTCTCTTATTCCCATTTCTCAGAACTGAGCAGAATTCATCCAAGCTGTTATGACATTTGCACGCAAAAATATTATGGCGTCTGTAAGCATGTAAACGCACTCGCTGTAGGATTAAGTTGATTACAGCGTGGTGATTCTTCAAGTCAAACTTTGAGTTTTTTTTAATCACAACCTGCAGGAGACTAATAGCTTTTCTGACAGCAGATATCCTGAGAGAAACAGGTTGGGTGGTCATGTAGAAAGATCTGTGTGGGTGTGCGTTTTTTTTCCTGTATGTGTTACACCTCTGCCCTCCTATCGCACATTTTAACTCGCTGATGCACGCACAATGCCTATCATGCAACCTGGGTGTGTGCGCTCACATGTGCAGGCCCTGCTAAGTGAACATTTGGCTGGATTGTTGTGTCACACGGATGAAGGTGGTTCTCCTGCTCAGCTCTTTGAGCTTCGCGGCACCCACGTAGGTGCAGGTGGAGCGGAGGCCCCCCAACACGTCACGGATGGTGTTCTCCACGTCTCCTCTGTAGGGAACCTCCACTGTCCTCCCCTCAGACGCCCTGAAATCAGAGGAGGGAGAAGAGGGTAGGACATGCTGTAGTTAACGCAGTACTCATTTTCAGTGATAACACGTACTGTAAATTCATTCCATACTTCTGAATTATTAAACTGAATACATATCAAGCATTCTATCAAGGGTAACAGGAATCCATGATATCAGTCTCTCACCTATACTCAGCAACGCCACCCACATATTTCTTCATGGCCGTGTCAGAGCTCATGCCGTAGAAGAGCTTGTATTTCTTGCCGTTCTTCTCGATGACCTCCCCAGAGCACTGGTCGTGGCCCGCGAGCATTCCTCCCATCATCACAAAGTCGGCCCCTGCGCCTGAGGAGCAAAGGCAAGAGGAGCCGTGATGGTTTCAATTTGTAGAGCACAGTCATACATGACGCCGATATTATGTGAATCATTTATTTATGAAAAGAACAAGAATTGTAGGTTGAATACTCACCAAAGGCTTTAGCTACATCTCCTGGGCAACTGCAGCCACCGTCCTGGGCAGAGACAAAAAAAAAAAGGTATATGGCTTCACACAGAATCACAGATTTTTCGTATTAATCTACGAGGCTTGGAAGACTGAGGATGCCCTCTACTGGCTGCAACCCAGTATTATTATCAACCTTGGAACCTTTATGCAACAAGATTATGGACTTTAAAAGCAAAAAGGGCTTAAAATAAGCAAATAAACCACTACCACCACCATACACTATGGATTAGGAAAGGGTCCTTGGATAATGTTTGTTAGATCTCTGTCCTGTAGGTTGATAGGCTGGACACACAATTAAATAACTTTAAGTTCTCTTTGAAGCAAAGAAGAACTAAATGCAAACTACATTGCCGTGCTTGTGTACATCCTCCATATCTGAAGCACATTTTAAGTCAAATGCGACCATCACAGCCCCCTTTTCTAACCTTTGAAGGATTCCCTTTTTTCTAACTTGACTGATGCCCACCAGCAAAATAAGACAGTTTTGACAAGTAGAGTATACTTAATATACTCTACACTAACTTGAGTAACCCCGGTTATTTCTCTGTACTGCGATGTGGGACTTACAGAGATAATGTGTCCTTTGAGTCCATGGGCTGAGTCTGCACACTCTATTACAGCACTTAGTTGTGGGTAGCCCACTCCTGTCTTGATCCTTGTCGTGCACACAGACCCTGTAACACACAGTGCACACATTAGAGAAAGTCCATCTTCATTAAACTATCCCCGCCTGTGTTTAATTCGCTGCTGCTCGAGTAACCTGTTTCCTTTCAGATCTGGTGCCGTCAGCTCAGATTGCTATTCGACAGGCTGGAGAAAGAAAACAGCAGCAGACTATCCAAAAGGTCGTCTACCTCATATGGAACAAGCTATTTAAGAGTATGTAAATTTCAAGTTGATTTAGCAAATAATTAGCAAATAATTTACCCTGGAGGTCTTTCTAATGTTATAAAGGCTAACCTACAGGTGATAAAACCATGTTTTACATTATTTACAAGTTGGACCATGCAACAAGTAACATGTGCAGTAACAGGGATTCAATGAGTCTACAAAGTAAAACTATTACTAAGGTTAAAACTCTCTGTGAAGCCCTGTGCTGCTCTGCATTTCCTCAGAGGGAGCACCCTCCTCAGACACGCTCAGACTCGTAGTAGCCACCCACCTGGCCCGATGCCCACTTTGATGATGTCAGCACCGGAGAGGATGAGCTCCTCCACCATCTCCCCCGTTACCACGTTACCGGCCTGCAAGGCAGACAGCATTAGCACATAAGACAGAATCTCACAGCACATCCCATAACTTGCCAGCCAGCTTAGGTGCAAGCCATCTCTCCTACCATGATGGTGTGTTTGGGGAACCTCTCCCGGACCGTCTTGACAAACTCCACAAAGTACTCAGAGTAGCCGTTGGCCACATCAAGACAGATGTACTTGAGGGCAGGGACGGCCTCCATGATGGCACACAGCTTCTCCAGATCTGCCTTGCTGCTTCCGGAGCTGGCGGCTAAATGCTGTGGAGAAAAGACACAACTGCATTTTAGTTATTAATACAAAAACATATGTGTAGTTATGTTCATGTTGCAAATGAGGAATAAAGGCAAATATGGTGATACTACCTCTAAGCATTCTGGATGATTAGCAGCAAAGTTTTTCCAGTCTTCTACAGAGTAGTGTTTATGAATGGCTGTAAAGAGGGTGTGCTAGAAAGAAAGAAAGACGAGAATACAGAAATGCAGAAATAATTTATATATTGGAGTACATTTAAAAATCTTCATCAGACTGAGTAGTAAATCAACCCATTCATAACTTCTGTTTTAAAGATTACACTTTTCCTGAGTCAATAGGTACTACAAAAGAAAGCAAAAAACACCCCAGAAGCTGGCAGATGTCTGTTTTTTTTTTGTTGTTCTGTGATTCCATGTCCAATGCTTGCAAAGACGTCTCAGTGGAAGAGATGTTGGCAGGCCCACACAGAGACAAAAGCACAAACACACAAACGATGCTATTATTTATTTCCTCATCCATTAACTCACTTTGCTGAGGACCTGTGCCATCTCAAACGTCCCTGTGGTGTCCATGTTGGCGGCGATGATGGGGATGCCATTGTAGGTCTGTTTGGAGTTTCGGAATGTGAAGGTCCTCTGAAGGTCCACCTGAGGGGAGACGGGTCTTTAATGTTACACTGTCTATGGGCTAAAAACCACAGGACAGGAGGATACTTTGTCTTCTTTGAGTTTGTGTGAAAGTGTTTAAACTGCATGAGGCTCGGCCTTCAGCTTTTTAGCGCTCAGCAGACCGAGCCAGAGGAGGAAGACTCCCTTTAGGAGGACAGACAGATAGAGCTATGAATGAACAACTGTGCAACTGAGAACCCGTGTATCAAATAAAGGTCGTTTATATGTCCATGACGTATGAGACTGTGTGTAGAAATATGGATGTTGAACTTCTTTCTGGCTTTGTCTCAGCCGGCGAGCTGGAGCTGAATAGGGGGACGCTGCAGATTTTTCGTGAAAATGGGAGCAGCTCATGTTCTGAGTCTTTGTGGTCATAATGACGACGCTCTGAATCATTTAGATCCAGAGGTTAGCTTAGCCAGTGCTGCTGTAATGTGATAAGCTACATGAAACAAGCAGGGCTCATTGTGACACACTAGCTGCTCCCTTTACAGTCAAGTATTTGTTTCTACTGGTGATGCAAGTCATGGCAATGATTCTTTTTACAAAAACAGTTGCAATAAATAAATCTTTTTCCAGTGAGTTAACATGACTTAACCCCTGGACTGTTGGTCGGTATTACTGTTGTGGTAGCTAATGTTAGCTAACTTCAGATACATTTTGGTAATGGACATTTGTGAGTCAGTACAGTGACTTTGTGTCTCCTACTTTTTGTACTGTTACACTACCTTTTAGTATTCATCGTTATCTTGTAAATATTATTGTGGCTTCAGTGTCCACTATTTAGCAAAAGTTAGTCTCACTGTAAAAAATTATTTAGAGAAAGCATATCGTAGCTTGGAACTCAATATTTCAAGCTATTATGCCAAACTAGAAACACATATACACTACAGGTAGGGTAAGATAGTATATTTTTATAAAGGTTTTAATTAAAAGTTAAGTTTAAGTTTAGTGTTTTTAAGCCATATTCCATTTACTTAAACGGCTTCACAGCACTGAATTCTATCGCTGAGTAGAGCCAAGACATTTATTATGCAAAACTACTTCATCTGTGGAAATAGGCAGTAAATAAACAGTACAAAGTGCCCCATAACCTTCACAGTGGACTCATTTTCAAAGCCACAGCAAAAATGAGGCTATAATTCATAATAGAGAAGAGAAAGAGGTAAGTGGTGAAAGAAGTATGAATGAAAAGGGTAGAGCGTTAAGTCATGCATATCTATGGTCTTGCTGCAGCAAATCAATATAGAAGGCCTCTTCTTTTAATACAGCACAGTGACTCAGGATTTTCCAGCCGATTCACCAGTAAATCACAACTTAGTATGACACATAGATCCAGTGGCTTCTGTTATAAAGCATTTTTATGACTTGTGCTATGAATTTGCTGGTGTAAATTTGCGTTAGCTCTGGATATAGCAGACATTTGTTAGATAAAATCTGTAAAATATTTGTAATTTTTACACTAATGGATAATTCTCTTTGTCTTTTTAGGTGTTTTTGTTGAGCATCTGCAAAAATCTTGGTGATGTCCAGATTGAAGGGACATGTTTCTGCTCAGTTGTGGTGCATAAGTACTTGAATACCGACCAGCTCACCATGTGGTGTCTTGTTATTGAGCAACTTTGTGGATGTCTGGTAAGCTTAGCTGCGGCAGGTGGATTTCTGTTCCTGCTAAATGCAGCAATAATTCAAACAAGAGCAGACAGGATGTAAACAGATGGATGCTTTTCGGAGTGCATGGACCATTAGATCTGGCTGCGGTATATTGGCTGCAGTATGCTGCAGTCATCTTATGTAGACTATTGATATATGAAATGTTATTTTAGGTGTTTTTTTTTATTTAGTTACTGTAGAGAAAGAGGGTTTAATGAGATAACAACAATGACAAAGATATAAATGGGATAAAATATAGAATTGGCTGCACTCAGTACATATCAATACACGCTCAAGTACTGTGTGTTCTCTGTGTCAGTGTATATATAATGCTATACCGATATCTCTGTGGCATATGGAATGTGCTCTGGTTCACTGTAACACACTGGTACTATTTTTAAACAGGTTTTCTGAGAAGTCTGCTGTGTCTCATGTTGCTTGCTCCCCTGTCAGGAGCCAACTCCCACCCACTTCCACCTTCCAACCCAAGATCTGGTGCCATCACAACACCGGTATCATGATCTTGGGTTGGTACCAGTCTCTGATCTAGTGACAGTTGAAGATAAAACAATAAGGAGAGGGTTGTGTTGTCCCAGAGAGCAAAATCAGTGTGTGCTAGATACACTGCGTCCTGTTATACCTGCTTAAAATGACAATGATTGATGACAAAATCAAGTCCACTGTGATCAAAATAGGTTTGGTTTTTTAACGAAATCTCCTTTTCTTTTGTTGTTTATAGACAGCTATAGTTTATAGCGTCTGTCTGGCACAGGCTAGCCTTGTTTTCATTCACCTTTAAGAAGGTCACTCCACTGTCATATGCCCCTTTCAGGGTAGCTTCTTTTGCTCACTTAAATACAAGGGCAGTGTGCACCTACTGGCTCTTAACACAAAACAAAGGGCACACAAATATAGAATTACACTGAGTGTGCACTTTTCAGCTTTCAGTCAAGATTATGGGGTTAATTATTGTCAATGATGCTGCTAGTCTGTATATGGATATCTCTAGTTTTCATCTGCAAATATGATGATGTGAGTGCAGCAAACAGGGTTAGTAGGCCCCAAAATTAGGGCCTCCTCCATGTATAAATAGTTAACATATCTGTATTGCGTCACCCACCATAGAGGCGTAAGCATAAGTGTACTTCCTGAATGCAATAGTAAACAGATTATACTCCTCCGGAGAAGAATCCTGAACAGATGGTTGATTGAACTGTAGCTGTAAGATTTGAATTACATTATCAGAGTACAACTAATTAACAGGACCAACCTCTGAGCGACTCTTCAGGCTGCTCCTCTTGGGTCTGAAGAGGACATCCTTAAAGTCCAGCTTGAGGTCTACGTCCACGCGAGGCATCTTTGATTCCCAGAACACTGATGACCAGGATAAGGATGATGAGGATAATGAGTATGCGGAGGAGAATCCCCTGAGGAAGGCTACTGCTGCAGTGGTTGTCACTGGTCCCAAGCCCCAACCACCAAACCCGAACCTCCAGGCGGCCAGCGTATTTATAGCTATAGGGGGCCCAGCCCAGCCCCGGCCCCCATGGCTTTATTTGGGCCTGGACTCCCCTCTCTCTCTCTCTCTATCCCCCTTGCTCTCTTTCTCCCTCCACTCCTCCAGCGTCCTCTCTCTCCCCACTCTCCTTCAGCAGAGTGGCAGCAGCAGCAGTGGCCAAGCTGGCAGGCACGCTGACGCATACACAGACACACACACACACACACACACATTCTGACACACACATACATGGCAGCACTGCAGTGGGTTGCGTGCTGCAGTGAGAAAGAGCACACCTGCTGTCCAGTCGGGGCATTGCTCCCTAAGCTACTGGCAGACAAACACAAGAGGAGGGAGGGGGGGAACTGATGGCAAAGAAAAAGAGAGACACAGAGGCAGGCAGAATAAAAGGGCACTGACAAGCACACTAAAATGTGAAAGTCATTTATTAGTCATGGTGGGCTTTGTTGTTTCTTTATACATGTGTTTTTATATTTATCTTTCCTTGATCAAGTGTGTTCCTTTTAAATTCTTAATGCATCCGCTGATCTGTCTTTTGTTCTGTTTTAGTATGTTGTAGACTGAGCATACCAGATAAAAGATAAAAAGACTGAAACACTTTGGTCTTGGAATACTTAAGTCTAGCAGTGCATCAAAGTTTAACCCGTTTGATGCACCAACAACTGATATCTCATGTTGGATAAAACCTTGTTTAGAACGTAGGCCTATTGTATGGTCTTGTATTCTCTATTGCATTAAAAAGCCCCTCCACTGAGAGTCATGTTTTGCTTATTATTTGGCCTGGATGTTTGAGCTTCACTGTGCAGAATTGGAGTTTGACACAAGAATGCTGTTTACACGTTCATCTGCTACAACTCACAAGATAGTCCTGAAAAGTCATTACAAAGACATAACTATACTTAATGCAACCATATCCCAGAAGAATCAATGAACCTATCAAAGGTTATGAGCAGACCAGTGTGTTACATTCAGTGGCATCTAGAAGTGACGTTGCAGACTGCAACCATTTGAATACAGCTCAGCCTTCTTCAGGCCCTATATCTATAGCCAGTGTTTTGTCTGTCCCTTCTAGGCCACCGTAGAAACATGGCAGTTCAACATGGTGGACTCTGTGGAAGAAGACCGGAGCTGTAGATAATAATATGTCTCATTCTCAGCTAAGAAAAACACTAGAATTATTATTTCCAGGTGATTTTATACTACAGAAAACATACATAACAACAATATCTTCTTCCTAAACATTACACACAGGACCTTTAAGTCAAGTTATTGACACAGACATACCAGCAGATCAAAGAAAAGCCCAAATAGTGCTGACCATCACTTGCCTAGCATTTATTATTTACTGTTAGTACAACGTGACACCAGTAGATGTCAGCATAGCTGAAGAAAACAGCTGCTAAATAAAGAGCAGAACCAGCGCCAGGGTCGAAGCTCTTGTTAAAGTGTTCCCTGGCAACTAGAGGTACCTTTATGATATTTATGTGTCTATTTGTCACTTCCTTTACAGCACTGTTATATTGTTTCTAACTTAGGTTTCTTTGTATCCGGTCCATGCGGGAAGCAGTTACTCCTGGAAGCATGAAAACTGTGAAAATTACCTTTTTACACAAACATTCTCTCATTTCCTGCACTGCAAGCTTCTAACAAAGGATTCAAGTGAATGGGGTTTAATCATCAGAACATTTCAGGGTAAACTCTGCATTTCCATATGAATGAAGGAATTGAGTGAAGTGAAAGTGATTTTATTTAATTAAATTTGTAACAAACTGAACTGGAATGTCTTGGGTGGAAGTAAATTGGCTGAATTCAAGAAAAAAGGTACAGTTTGATAACAATACACCTTTCTACACAAACGTTTAAAAGAATAACATAAAAGAACAAAGCTTGAACTGAATGTTTGTTTTTTTTTTAAATAATGATAATTTGCACTGGATCCACAGATATCTAACCTCATGCCTCATTATTATGTAACGGACAAGATCAGATTAATCTATACGCTATGATGTAAAGCAGTTAGAGTTTCTATAAGCCCACTGCTCTTCAACCCCTTGTGCACGTCACACTAAACTGCATTGATAAGAAGGTTCTGACTAAGGTCAGCCTGATAAGAAAAGAACAGTCTGCCTTGTACCCTATGTGTCCTGTGTCAGCTTGCCGCAGTCACAGCTGGAGTCTCAGGTGTTCATCTGAGTTACAGGCTGAGGCAGGAAGTAGGTGAAAGTGCAACAAGTAGCTGTCTCTGTATGTACATGCAGGTTTTACTGCTTGCATGGGATCAGTCACTATTGCTGTCTGAACTAATACACAATGTTCAGAAACTTCCCTATATGAAAGTCTGGGGTTCATTTTGTTGTCATATGAGTGGCTTTTGGGATGGCAGTGTCAGTCAGTCATCTCTTTCATCTGAAATAACTTAACAACTGTGGTCATGAACGTTTGTACAGATTCACGGTTCCCACATGATGAATCCCACTAAAACCTTTGGTCTTCCCCTTTTCCTGTAACTGTTGTTCATATTTGTGGTTTTTAGTGAAATTTAGAGACATTCATGTCACACTCTAAAAAACTAAAACACTAAATTGTTGTATCAAGTTAATTTATCCTCTAGTGTCATCATCGGGTCCAAATTTGAATTTGTCCAATACTTTGATTTACTATGAAATAGTTGTAAAGCTAATGACAATCTAATCAGCTGTGCTTGTACTCTGTGCTTTGTGAATTTTCCTACTTAAAGGATGCTTGCACGTTAAACTCACATTATGAACATGATAAACATTATGTCTTCTAGCATCAGCATGATAGCATTGCCATTGTGAGAACGTTGCCAGAGTTGGCATTAGGCTTTGGTTCAAACCACTGCTGTGCCTACGTCTCATAGAGCTGCATAGACTCTGGTTCATATACATATTTTTATAGTCAGTTCGACAATCACTGTGTTCACTACCCATGTATTATGCAAGTTTATAGGCACCGTGGAGAATATTTAAAAAAAACATGTTCTTTACACAAGAAAATGGTAGCATTGCAGATGTTTTTTGCTGGCTTATATTTGCTCAGACGCATACTTGGACATGTCGTGGGAAATACCAAAAACACTACAGTAATTTACCCTATGGATACATTTTAACAGTACCACTCTATATAGATATATTGTTTTCTACAGACATCAGACTAGATAGTTTCTTATTTTGGTAAAGAAACAAGTTCCATTTTGTGCTATCCTTTATGAATTTGAAACTAAACATTAAAAAAACATTTCTCTTCTTTTTTGACATTTAACAATTTTTATATTTTCAGGCCTTTGCGGTCTAAATGAACTCCAGACATGTTGAAGTGGATGAGCTAATGACAGCACTTAAGTTCTCTGCATAGAGAACATTTTTTAGCCATGCTGTTTACACTCGTCTAAAACTTCTAAAAGAACACAGATACACACACACACACACACACACACACACACACACACCACACAGAGAGAGAGAGAGAGAGAGAGAGAGAGAGAGAGAGAGAGAGAGAGAGAGAGACCAGATTATCTTACCCTGTATTTACTTACCAGCTGACGATGCCATCCAGAGATGGGCTGTTTGCCTTGAGGAAACTTATCTCAACCGCATTCAGAGGAGCTGTTTTTCCCTTGGCAGTGTGTCATTGGGCCGAGCAGATGTGAAAACCACATGGCAGTGGGTGGGTGAAGTTGGTGAGGATCTTTGATGTTTTCTTCCTGGCATGACTTGAAATGATAAGAACTTAAAAATTCTATTTGTTTTTCTATGTGAGGAGCTCAGGTAATGAAGATGAAGAAGAATCTTTTCCACCAGGGTATATGTGCTGCTTTGTGTTGTGGGGTTTGAAGTGATGAACTAGAATTTAAACCCAGGAGACCGCGCTGAGCTTCATGTGTGGCACTTCCTCTTTCTTTGTAGGCCCTGGCTTCTGCTTGGACAACACTAAACAGGCATTAGTGTAAAAATAACAAGAACAAGCTTGAACTCCAGAGAGGTGGGTCAAATGCCATTCTGGATTAACAAGAAAGCATGGCAAGACAAGTAGAGGAAGGGGGGAGTCTTGTAGAGCTATTTTCCTACATGCTCCACTCTCTTTTGTTTCCCCTAAGTATATAATTATCTATTAAAATAAATATTATATAATTGGACTGCAAAACCTAAAAGTATTTTTCTTTGAAATTGTGAGACCCAAATTGAACTTCCATTCTTTGTCAAGTCAGTTATAGATGTAGCAGATGTTTCTGTGCATCTGTGAAGTAACTTAACACTGATGGGAGCAGTTCAGGCCAGGAGGAAAACCTCTCTATCTCTCGGAAAATGGACCCAACAGGCCAATAAACACACAGGGAGCCAACAGCGCAAATTGTTAGATACGGATCTGTTATGACATTAAGGTAGGCTGGGATTTTTTTAAATTTAAACATTTACAGTAAGGGATTTATTTAAAGGAAATGGCTACATTCTTCCAGTAAAAAATCGTATCCCACCTAAAACACCTTCCTGTGATTTAAATGCTGTTTCCTATCATTTATCTTCACACGTGTACAACTTTACGTGTACTGGTAGCTTAGTTTGAGAAACTCTTTTCTCCAGCAGTAACAAAGTGAACAGTAGCTCCCAGCTGACTGTAGACATGTGCTCATAAATATGGGGCAAAATCTCCTCTATTATGTTTTATTGACTGTTGCTGTTGGCTACATGCACAATAGAAAGGGGGCATTCGCAAAATAAAGCCAATAAAACCTGATACAGTAGAAAGATGGTTTTTGGCATCATATTTAAAGGAAGGTCTGAATCCACGGTGAGCTTTCTGGTTTAAAAAAAGAGATTTACATATCATGTTTTTTTTAAAGGGTGGTCCTATTCTTTAATTGTTTCAACAAATCATTAAAAGGGCTGTAAATGCCCCACATGCCAGGGGCATTTTATTGAAACACGATTCCAGTACAACATAAAAATGCAAAAGATTAGGCAAATCCAAAATCCACAGTCTCCAATGAAACCACTAAGCCTTTTCAGTTTTCTCTTTCTATTATTCTCTGACATTGGCTTCGCATGTCACCTCCCACCACAAAATCCATATTTTGTTGGAAATTCCTCAACAAGAGATTAATGCAGTTTTGGATTAGTGTGACAAAAGCAAATGTTCTCAGATTGTCACGTGTCAAAGAGATTAACACCTCTGCAGTCTTTTCATGTTTTTCCACTTCTTTCTTTTACCATATATCATAGTACCATAAGTGTAACCAGCTTTTTGGTTTTTTTACATGAGTGAGCTTTTCCTGTTTGTGTGCTTCAACTTCTTGTTACTGGGTAAGGGCAATGCTTCAGCCCTTCTTGCGGCATGCGCATGTACGTGATCTGTATCAAAACTGCAGACAGTATGAACAAAAACCAGCCACTGTTGTGAGGCTCATTGTCCTACTTACAGATGTTTTTCATTTCACTTTATTGTATCTTGGTTAAAGTCTAACCTTAAGTTAAACAACCAGTTAGCGTTATATCTGGTGCAAGTTATTGTGGTGTTGTTTTTTTCCAACCTGCAACCTGCAAGTTCTGCATGGCTGACTGACTAAAAAACACAGCACTTTACTCATCTCCCTCCCCGCTGTCATCAGTGTCCTTGGAGTTTGTTTAATGGCAGTGATGCCCGTAAGCAAATAAAAAAGGAGATAAGATGAGAAAGAGAGAAGCATTCGTATCCAGAGGCTCATGAAAAGACAGAGGAGTTCAGGGAGAGAGGGGGGTAAAGTTAGGCTAATCGATAGCTGCTGTAATTCACTCTTATTTGCAGACTTTATAATCACAGTCCAGTGGAGCTTGTCATTTCCCATCAACTTCGAGAGCCTCTTTGTACCACAGACTGTGCAACTCTCAAATCCCTTTCCTCCTCTGACAATGACAAATGTCGCATTGACCTTTCAGTGTGCGACACACCTGGGGAGCTGGAGGAGTGAGGACTAAAGTCATGGCAGCTATTCGCTCCACACAGCAGGTGATGAGAAAAACCCTTTTTGCCCTTTCTCTTCTCACCACGTCTCTTCTGATACCTCTAGGGCTCGATTGTTTCAAGACAGCAGGTTTACTGATTTATCTTGACAAATAAGTGATGTAACATTTTAATTGACCCTTCCTTAGTCCCGCACCTTTTTGAACCTTGAAACTTTCTCTTTTGCTGGTTAATCTATAATCGATTGGTAGCTAGTTAGCTAGAGTTTGCTAACATTAGCTATCATTTTAACTAGCTAGCTAACAATGAAGGTAAATTACATAGCTAGTTAGCTTATACATTAGCTAACTTAAGATATATTTACACCCACACTTGCTTTCATATTGTTAACCATTGTAAAAATGTGGTCTTTTCAACATAGACGAGCCTCGTAGGATTTAGGAAGGGTCATTTGAGGGAAATCCAGGTTTAATATCTTTCAGTAAATCTCTCTTAATATGTAAAAATGTCATTGTCATTATAAAGATCACAAGTCAGTCTAGAACAGTTAGTTTTACACATTTTCTGCTTGGTTACCCCTTTAAACCCCTCATCATAGGTCATGGCCTTAGTGGGCATCATTTATGAGTCATTGTCACTGAGTGATCAGTTCTACCAACCAAAGAGATTTTTCCATTTGTGGTGAGGTAAAAGTATCCAGTATTTCACAAAGAAGGCAAATATTTTTTCTTTTTTCCTCCAGCCTCCAGGTTGGGAACCAACTTGAAATTCATTGAAATTCATTAGAGCACTTAAACATACATTAAATTCAACATTCAACAGTATATGTATTATAATTCCTAAAGTTACTTACATTTTTTGTTTTACTGGTGCCTTATAAAGTGTGTTCAGATAACATACAAAACTGTAATAAATAACAAATTCAAAACAAAGTGTTTGTTTTTAAAAAACTTTATTAATACTTTCTCTTTTGTTAAAAACAGAATATATAAAAATGATTTAATTCTAAGTTATTTTACAGAGCATATAGTGGCTTTTGCTTCAGAAAACAGAAACAAATCGCTACTTGTACAATGTGAAAAATAAAAGTCCTTCCCCTGCAGTGACTGAGTTTAATCGAGTCAGCATTAAAGAAACAAAGTTTTCCTTTTCTTACCAGAAAAAAAGTCTGTGGAAAGTTTATTATAAACACGGTGTTGCTGCTACATTAAGGCCGAACCCCCTACAGACGTGGAAAACTTCCTTGGTAAAGTGACAATGTAGTTTTTTTGTTTTTTTAAATAATCTTTGAAATTAAATAAAACTTTTAAATGAAAAGCTTTTCAAAAAGCAAGCAAGTATTGCACAGACAGATCTCCTAGTACCCTTTAAAAATATCAAAAAAGGAACTCACTAGTGAACCCCAGAGAATAAATTTATAGCAGGGTTTTTAGAGGAAGCAGCTACTGCAGGACCAAGTTCCTACTCCGTTTTGTATACAACCTTGTGGTTTCTTGTGTAGTAATATTTCTTTACTTTCTGCTGGCAAGGAGATAAAAATGTAAGAAGTGCAGCAGTCTTTGAAACTGGGCCCATTGTTTTGGACAAGTGGCAGTTAATCAACAAGACCCGTTTCGAGGTGAAGGAGGTTGTAGGAGTGTAACTAAGATACTGCATTTAATGTCTATAACCATAGTTCTGGTGGGCTTAAAAGAACATTCAAGAACCCCATTTAATCCACTGATCACAAGAACGGGACCGTGGTGGCCTTATGACCTGGTGTTTCTTATTAGTATGCAATTCTACACCCAGAGCAGTGCTGCTTAGCCTCCAAATACCCATAATTGGCATGGAAAACATGAACATAAGAAATAAAATATTTTAAAAAAAATGCATCTCACTCCATTACACCATAAAATGCTGTTCAAATCAAAAAACAGACAAGCTTTAAAATGTCATGAAGCATTAAAAAAAGACCATTATGTTCATAATATGTTTTGGGTTCTGGGGCTAAGAGCCTGATATGGAGCAAATGAAAAACAACCAACACACAAATTCAAAGTGTAGTTCAAAAACAAATGTTTCTATTCTGTATCAGATCAACTGATGCAATAATTTAACAATAAGAGCCTAATCTAAAATCATATCGTGGCAGGGAAGAATGATAAAAACATACAAGATCTGGACAGAATGACACGGAACCAACCAGACAAACTGACAGTTCAAATGGACGAAGTGAATAAACGATAAAAAAAAAAAAACCACACAAAAACGCACACTAGTTGAGGGAGTTTGAGTGTGTTGATCTTTGATTATGCTCAGGAGTTTCTACACGTTTGGTAGTTCAAGGAGTCCAGACAGGAAACACACAGACGGACGAAAAATGTTCCTTTGAAGTGTTCATTATGGAGTTTGGTGGGTTTAGTGGAGTTGTCTTTCATGTGTGGTAGATCTTGTGGTCGTACTCTGTGGCAGAGCAGCTGTGAGGAGAAGCCATCTCTCTGTGGATGGGTGCGGGGATGCTGCTGCTGCGGTGTTGGTGGTTGTCGGTCAGCGTCAAGTTCAGCAGGCTGGTGCAGGTGGGCAGGTAGATGTGCTGCACGTGCTCAACATCCGACCGACACACAGGACACAACTAATGGGAAAGAAAAGGGAAGAAAAAAAATAATAATTAAGCACACAGTATTTTGCACAACATGTTTATTATCTGAAAGTGAGCTTGTATGCATATGTCAAAAGGCTAAAAAGGAGTTCACACACTTCTGGACGGTCAAACTCTGGAGTGGTTTAATAACTAACGTGTGAGAGCATATGTAAACACAATCACACAGTACAGAGAGTCACAGAAACATGCTCTCTCATCAAATGAGCTGGGGAGAGTACTGCTGGCAAATGATTAGTCAGTAATGTCTGTGTTAAAACTGAAGGACGCAGTGACAAAATATCTTACAGTAAAAAAAAAAAAAAAAAAAAAGCTTAATTATGAACCGTGTAATTGCTCCAAATGTGAAAACTGTTTCCACAAACATGCTGAAAAGCAGTGGAACGTTCCTTCCTTCTTTCATCTTAAGTTTCTACTGACTCATTCACACGTCTATTAGCTGGGTCACGTTTCTTAGTTGAGTTAATGGAAGTAAGACATGGCTGGCTGCTATAATCCCTTCATAAGAAAAACACACACGCACGCAAATACACACACACCCCATCTGCTTCCACAAGGATGGGCAACATTTAGCTGATTAAAGTGGGGGGGACAATCAGGTCAGCAGAGTGTAAGCAAAGCTTTGTTTAAAGGACCATAAAAAAAGGATCAGAAGTTGGAACTCAAGTATAATTAAAGAGCTTTTGGTACAGCTGGAAATTTAAGTAAGCTGAGGGTCAAGGTCCAGACAGAAGACAAAGCAATTGTTGCCTTGTTGTTGAATTCACTTTTATAAAGTACTACTTCTAAGGTTGTGTTGACATCAGCTTCATCATTGCAAATAGCCAGCAGCACTGTCATGTTTCAGTGTATATGACTGAAGAAAATGCCAATCAGCCCCCACTGTGGTTGATAAACAAACTCATCAGTCTTCCATAGACACGTTGTTTTGACAATGAGTGAAGAGTCTCACCTGGAGCTGGTTTGCGCAGTTCTGGCAGCACACCATGTGGCCGCAGGGGCAGAACGCAGAGTCTATCTCCTCCTCGCAGCACAGCATGCACAACAGAGCCTCTCTGAGCTTCTGCAGCCGCTCCTGTAGGGCTCGGCTCTGCTGGCAGCTGCCGCAGTCCAGCCCCTCGTCCTGCTGGTCGTCTCTGCTTGGGGAGCGTGAAGGAGAAGAGCGTTCGCCATTGCCGGAGCGGGACACCAGGTCCACAACACCAGAGTTGTAGAGGGCACGCCGGGCGTGGTCGTACACTTCCTTTGAGGTGCGTCGGATGTCGAAAACGTACTTCTTGCCCAGGTTGATGTTTTCATTGAGGAAAAGTGAAGCTAGGTGGCCCTTAAAGTCTCTGCTGTACTGCATCATCACTGCATTTGTAACTGTGTCACACCTACAAATGAAAAGATGATAAGGCATTATTACACAAATTACAAAACCACCAAATCCAGAGTTATCTGCAGTACGGTGTCCCACCTGACTTACAACCTCTTCCTTAGTGTATGTGTTTATTTAATATCCCCCTTGCACTGCTTGTTTAAGCAACCCCTTATGTTCATGCTGTTCTAATGCCAGATTTACCACTGCAACACTTGTTTCTGAGAAAGCAGGACGAAGACATGCCTGCAAAACAAAATCTGCAGACTCTGAACTAAAACCCATCCCTGAAACAAAAGGACAGGGCTGTCTTTTGTACTATTGTGACTGAGAACAATTTCATAGCTCAGCCATTTGAATTGTCCCTTGTCACTGCAAATTTGACGCACGCACGCACGGAAAACTGCTGTCTTTAACCACTGAAGATTGTCCAGTGCAATCTATGTTTCCATCCACACTCATTCGGGGTCAAGGACATGTTTTATGTAGCCACGTGTGCCAATTTACAAGTATTTACCACAATAAAGGGTTAAAAAGGTAACAGGAGCACAGTTAGTGTGTACAAATGCAGGAGAATGCACACTCTTTAGCACTGCATGCCAAGTAGAGCAGAACGAGTCTTTACAGAACACGTTTTAGGTCAGGTTTTATAATTTACTCGTCTTTAGTGAAGGATAGTGAGCGATAAACTATTTCATCCAAACTTGCTACAATGAATAAGAAGATTGTTCTAAAGCAGGTCAGATTTGTGAATAACAAAAAAAAACTGGAGCAAACACTGCTGACAGACACTCATACAGGAACACAGCACGCGACTGAGCAGCAGAGCTTCAAATTAATTTGAACCGTTATCTTGGCTCCCCACATGAGGTGAGCTACAGTCTATAGTCGACTGCTTGAATTTGCCTCTAATAATTTAAGGGAGTATTGACTTTGTGGAACGAGTTATTAAAATGGCCTGAATCGACTTCTATTAAAATCTTCAGCAATACAGCTGCATGGTGTATGTGTGAGTTATCTATCTGGGCTTAAATACTATATGTTTTTTAAGCTCTCACCTGTAGAAGGCGTGGGTCTCTGTAATGGCCCGGTACAGGCCACTGGCTGCCCGGTTACTGATCAGCTTGAACAGAAGCACCACGCTGTCACTTGTGTCCTTGGTAACCGTCAGGTAGACGGTTTTCCCCGACTGGGTGGCAATCTGGATGACTGGATAACTTACTCTAATAGGAGACAAAAAGAGAAGAAACATTTACGTATTGAATATTGTTAAAGACAGCCTTGTAGTAAATACCGAGGGCTATTTGCAGATGTCTAGGTGAAGCATACCTGTTGACTAAGCTGAAGTCCTCTTTGCAAATGGCAATGCCCTCAGGGCCAACGCCTATGGCCAACCGTTGGCCATTTGCATCGCGAACCCAGTGCCACTCCACCCCGTAATGCTCCAGAGAAGAGACCAGCTGCAGGGCCTGATACTCCACTGAGCCCTGGCTTGAACCTTCGAGAGCCTTGTGTCTGGATATGATGCTGCAGGACAGATGGGGTTGGGGAGAGAAGGGAAGACAGACAACCATTTAAGTTTATTTAGCTCTAAAAGCTCAGATTGGAAATGACATTTTCTGACTTTATTATAGAGCCTCTTATATCAAGAAACACCCAATGTGACAGGTGTATTATACAAGCACAATAAATGCAACATTAGTGTGTTACAGCTGTCAAAGATGAACACACCCTCAGGCAGAAAGCTCTGGTGTTAAACTGCTCCTTTTTCTGACAACTATACTTACGAGATCAATGCTTAGGCAGCGGAGCAGAATGCTTATTTTAGGCAATGAAGCCTGCTTATTTCTACAGACTGTGGTAGGAAATGCCTAATGGCCAGGGGTGGAAGGAATGAAGGAAATTTACTCTCATTACTGTTACAAAGTTGTTTTTGTGTACTTGTACTTTTGTTGTGAGTATTTTGTATGTGAAAAAGGAGCCAAATGAGCAGCTTTGGCAGAGAGGAAGCTTGTGGGCTGTAGCGGAGTTTATTTATGATATTTGTGGCAAGTTACTCCATTTATGTAGCTAAATAATGCTTGTGGCACCCTCCGTGTTGTCCATAGCTCTTTGTTTTGTTTGTTTGATTGTCTTGAGTTTTGTCCCCTTTTATGGTTCATTCTAATAAGGCTGAACTCACGAAGGAGGTTGTATATTTATAACTGATAATAAGTTGTGGACACAGGCTGCAAAGGGTGAGTGTAGGTGTAGCAGAGAACAGTGGTGACTGCTCGCTCAGTACTGCACATGGATAAGGAGTTTAATGTAGCAGGTTTAGCAGATGGGGCTTGATAATGTATAATTTAAGAGTCTCAGCATTTGAGGAACAGTGCCATGTGCACAACAAATGCTTCCTGTAGGCACTCCAAAGGCTGCGATTAGAAAATGGAGACGCTGCAGTAATTCTTGGATAAGTTCCCAACAGTTGCAGCTGGGACGGGCATTGCCGTGGACTCCAAAACAAGAGCAAGAGTGTAAAGAGAGTGCAAGGAGTGAAACCCTCTCCTTGTTTACAGAGAAAACGTTCAAGATGTAAGGGTGGGGGGGTTCTGTCAGTACAAACACATGCTACGTGATCTCCCGTCAGCTGCTCTGTTTTGGCAGTCTGTGTGTGTGTGTATTAGCTGTCGAACAACCTACACACACTGCTTGGCAGTGTGATGTATTCTTATCTAAACTTTACCTCAGATAATGTTACTGAAAAAAGACACTGCAATTTATAAAAGGAAAATGCTGCAAAACTATGAAAGACCGCAATATCAGTTCAACTCAGTGTAGCTTTTTTTTGGTATTTTTTGCTAAAGATAGCATTTTGATTTGTTAAAATTAAATTTCCTTGAACACCAGTTGCCACACTGTACTATCCTTGGCTCACTGCTACGATTAATTATTTACTTTTCATCATGTCTCTATGGGGGTGGACTCCCTCCCTCAGAGATAGAGAGACACCGAAACAGTCAACAGGTTTCAATGATTGGCCAGAGCTTCTTAACTTGTATGTACAAGGGATATTGAAATGATGTTCAAATTCCAGTTGTGTTTTTAAAAAATACACCAAAACCCCATAATCATTGGTGATGGCTTCAGGCCAGGGTAAGGTTTTTATTACAGTTAGATGTGGAGAGAACAGACAGTGTTTGAGAAACCATTTCTTAAAAGACAAGTGTTGTACCTGTCAATAGTGGCAGTGCTGGGCTCCTCTCCACACAGCTCTGAGTACCAGTACTGGGCCGTGTTTTGGTTGTAGTCACCGAACTCTGCCTGTGCCAGAAGCGCACTCAGCTCCTCCGCTTGTTCTGAGCCCATGCGTAGGTGACCGTTATGGAGGTCCTCCTTCACGTGCATGAAGAAGACATGTCTGGTGGACAGGAAGACAACAGAACAGCGGTCAGATGGGAAATCTTTCCATTGCTATTGTGATGTAGTAGACAAGGTGTAACTGAATAAACAAAGAATAACTCTTTACATTACATTTAACCAGAAAGAGGGCAAATTACTATCTCTATCATTCAACTGATTTTCATGTAGAATCACTAATGGGGGCAGGACTTCTGGAGCACATGTAGGCCAGAGCAGGTGGTCATTACAAGGATAGAATTTCACAGACAGCAGGTGTTTGTGTGCATGTGTGCGCAGCAGAGGGAAAAAAAAAAGCAGCAACTGCGACATTTGTTCAGTAGTCACAGTGACTCTCTTCCTCAAACACATGGTTAGAACTTCCTTTAAATGTGGATTCACTAGAGACTCTGAAAGTGGAAGTTTAGAAAGGGAAAGTAGTTACAGGATTGAATGGGAGTTGTGTCCAGTAGAGGAAGCACTTGGACTTTTAACCTGGTAACTCAGTGGTCACAACTGTGCTTGTACTGTATCTGCTGAGGCCAATGCCTGACAACCACTGCATGTTATTAAGCAATAAACCAGAATGAGTGAATACAGTAGTAGTACTTGTCTGTGGCTCTTGCTCTGTAGCTTTTTGTCAAAAATGTGGTTCAATAACCTTGCACTCATGCAGTATGCCCATTTAAAGACAAACCAAGTTACCACTAATCTTGTTTTGCCCAACAGAGGAATTCCAAGTAGGAACAAATGGCTTCGAAAGATTAATGGTGGTCAAAAACAACAATTGTTATCGTTTGGGCTGAATGATTAAATGAGAACACAGAGTTCTGCTGTGGCCAAGGAAAACAGCCAAATTGTCAAAAAAATAAGCCCTGGCTAGTCCTTTCCATTGTTTTGACCAGAAGATGTGAGGAATTCTTTTCTTCTAGCAGCAGGAGACAAGACGTCACAAGGAGTAACACCCTGACAACGGCATGAAGGGAGCTGAACTCAAGTAACCTAAAACAGATCCTTCCTTGAGATGACCTATGGCACAGTAACCTTAAGAAGCTTTGACAGGCACCAACCTGCTTCAGTCACCTGCTGCAGTCAGACAAACGAGTCGGACCGCTTCCCACTGGCCAATGTTGTTGACTAGCTGAGATGTGTGACTGGAGTTCTTTAATCTTAAAGTCCTGACACGTCATCCACCCCCCCACATAAAGAAATAAAAATACTTCATATCCACACACACACACACACACACACACACACACACACACACACACACACACACACACACACACACACACACACACACACACACACACACACACACACACACACACACACACACACACACACACACACACACACACACACACACACACACACACACACACACACACACACACACACACACACACACACACTAGACCTATAGATAATACCAAAAATGAAAGTACGACTTCTGCAACCTGTGTTAAGAGAGTTCCTGCAGTACAACGATTTGATGAATAAAACAAAAAAAAAAAGGCGGGGAATGTTTTGGCCTACCGCATCCTGATGTGGTAGACTAAAAGCAGACTGCTTGTTATTTCCACTACAAAAAAAATAAAATAATCCCCCTTGGGCTACAGTTCTCTTTGAAGCGTGATGCAAAGAGAGACATTTTTCATTTGTGCGAATCAGGTCAAACAGTGACTTGAGGATATTTGTGAGGGTTTAGAGGGACCCTTTGAGTGGAGGGGGAAGGTGGAACTCATCACATCTTTATTAAGTTTACATAAACCTATTGCGTTTTGTTTATGTAGAAAATGCATTCTGCAGGGATGTAAGCTTCGTGGGAACTCCAGAGGATGCAGGGAACGAGCTGGAGGTGACGTTTCCTCCGTCATCTTATGGGACTTAAAACCAGACTCTTGTGGGAGCAGTGCACGACTGGTGGCAGAATATGCACACTTGTGTATTGCAACGGCTTCAGTATGCAATAACACAGACACACCTCGTACAACACACGTTCACAGTGCTTCCAAGGAGTAACAACAGTAGCGAAAGCAGCTGTGAGGCACACAAACAAAGTCGGTCTACACCGCCCCTGATAAAGCCAGACCATAACAACGAAGCCCCATAGCCGACTAGCCTCAGGCATAACAAACAGTGCTTTGATATGGTGTTAAACATCCCATTCCCTCAACACACACACACACACACACACACACACACACACACAAACACCGCACTCTATTGTGTCAGACCCAGCAGGCATCATGTGATGGAGCGCTGCTTGTTAGCTACCTGCCTGACACAAACAATAGAGCAACTTTTTACTACAGGGTGCCGACAAAGAGTTACTCTAGGGCAAGCCGCGGAGGTTATTCTAGTTCAGGCGGGGATTGGCAAGAGTTTAATGTCGGTCACAGTGCCGATGGGCAAAGCATTTAATATCTTACGAACTTCCTTCAGCAGATATTCCGGCCTGTTAGTTTGGTGTTGTGCTGCTGACAATATGTCTCCTTGTGGCGTTACTCATTCTGATTTTAACCTCAGAGCAATTTCATTTGACTAACCATCTGTGACAATGCAGACTTGGTATGCATCTCTTAGCCACTGAGCTGCTGAGTAAGACATTTGACTCCTGCTTTTCCGGTGTTGTGGGCGCTCACACGTGTAAACAGGTGTGCGTGGTTTGCTGAATGGCAAAATTCTAATTGTCATTTGGAAGAAGACGGCTATCATAAGCCATACAACAGAACGTGTAAGCCGTGCAACAGAGGTAACTACAGTTCACTTAAAGTTGTTACTGGTCGACTTCCCTGAGGCTGCATGAGAGGCGTCAGATATGCACTCTACCAAACACCATAAAAACATGACTAAAATTGTCAACACGCAGCTGTTTCACATGCAGAATGTAACAATTTCCCCCACAGAGGCCCCTGTGAAGCTACACTGCTACTGTATCTGCCTTAAAAAACAGCTTTGCACAGCAATGAGAACTCATTACGTAAACTCTTGTTATGATAACAAAGACAGACGTTTAGTACAGATTACCCTAAACAGTAAGTTTGGCTTTTCTATCAAGTGATTTAGTCATATTTTTGTAGTTGCATGAGTATCTATCTATTATAAAAAAATTATATATATATATATATATATATATATATATATATATATATATATATATATATATATATATACAATATATATATATATATATATAAAAAAAGCTTCCTTGACGTCCATATTAAGTAGATAGCTTCTTAAGACAGCTGTCCCAGGATCATTCCACTCTAGTGGTGTCGTGCTGCCTCAGCACATGTCAAGGTCCATCCTAAACTCAGGGCATGGGAGCGTCCATAAATCCATTGTTTCCCAACATGGTGTTTGAGGCTGACTGGTTGAGATGGAACAAAAAAAAAAGAAAAAGGCTTCCCTAAATTTCTAATGCATTGTTGAAGTGTTTCCTAAGTGGGCACAGCATTTGAGACCTACTAATGTAGACTGACCCTTCAGGTTTACACAGGCCTGTAACCAAGATGAAAAGACAAGAGTAAATTATAAATTAACTCCTATTCTCAAGCAAATGGGCATCCGAGCAGATGATGGGGAGTTTAAGTCACTGTGACTCATGAGAGTGACTTCGACAGGATCACAGGACTGAAATCTGTTTCACGCTGGGGCCGCTCGTCTGTATGCTTTAGCCAGTTTGAGTCACCATGTTAAGGATCGACACACATTAACACACACACACACACACACACACACAGTGTGCTTTAAACACTGCGCCCATCAGCACCACAGTCCTTTAGACACAGACTGAATGCCAGAAAGTCTCTGCTAAGACCAAAGTCTCCTGGCCTACTTTTACCACATTATACTGTATGCTCCTCATCATTGTTTTGTCCTTCATAGAGATAATGCATAATCATGGTCTTAAGAGGCTTACTCATTTACAGTCATAATACCCCTGTGAATGCAAACAGCGGGGGAGAAATAAATGCACTTCAAAACAGTGGTTGTGGGGAAGGGAAAGAGGTCATGCGAGGTGCTGCAGGAAATGTGTGAATACTTGATTGCCTGGCTGGAATAATTCAATTAAAGCAGGCCTGGACCCTGAGAAAGAATATTAGAAAATAGGTCACTGGCTACAGGGCTGAGCTAAGGGGATGGCAATGAGATAATTCAGCTGATTTCTTCTGCCCAGTTTGAACCATTCAAATTTTAAAAACACTGAAATATCCCAAAATGCAGAGTTTGTGCATTTTAAGCAACTCAGTGTTAAAACATTTGGAATTTTCTATAAGAGGACTCAGAAAAAAACAACAACAGTCCTTTTCAAGTAGCCCTAAACTGTCCCACCCATCTATAAAACCCATTCTCATTTTAATGATTTCTGCCCCAACCCAGTGTCTATTCCCCCTGTAGGCAGAATGTCAGCCAGTTTGTTGCACAGAAGAACAAAACGTCCCCACCAAAGTGAAACCTAACACCTCTGCCTAGAGACTGCACCTCATCCAGCCAATCACCAGTGGAGTTTCAGACCTCATCGGTTGGGCTCTCAACAATGCGGTTTGTGAGCTAGTCAAATAACACACTGCCAGGAGCTGTGTGCTGCGAGGTTACTATGTGTCAATGAACTATAGTTAACTCTGCTAAACATCTTCTCCCGAGGCGTGGGCTGCATGGAAAGTCAGACACAAACGCTTAGTGTATTCTTAATCATGTAATTTACCAGAGAGTTGCAAAATAATCATTTCAAGCACTAAATATAACGTGTACGCCTTTGCTCTGTGCAGAGTTGGACTGAAAGCTTTACAGCAATAAAACAAAGAAGCTGTTTGTATGCTAAATGCCTTGGGGGGGTTACAGGCTGGTGCTCAGTCCTGGATGGTAAAACGGTGATTAAAGCCCAGCATCAACCCCAAGTCCAGGCGCCAAATAAATAGAGCAACTCTGTCATTTTGGGACAAGGGCTAATGTTATGACTTCAAAACAAGACAAACCAGGGCTAGGTTACTCCAGTGCACAGAACACAGAGGAAAGAAAGAAACTCACAGGGAGAGCAAGAGTGTCTGATCACCGGCGGTGGAGTGTTCTGATAAAAGTATTTATTTATGCATTTCTGAACTTTTGAAGACCTGCAGGCATCTTGTGTGATCTTTGGTTTGATCGTCTACATAGCCTTACCACAGTGAAGCTAGAAATGATAACTGGTGTGTGACCTGAATAAATTACCTCAAAACTGTTTTTGGAGAACATTTAATTGAAGGGGCAGTGCAGGAATTTTGTCATGGAGATTATGCTCTTTGTCCCCGTTTTCTAATGTAGGATTAAACTGCAATTTGATGAGGAAAAACAAAGCTGAATTAAGTGAAACCTTTTTAAATTCCATGCTTTTTGAATGCTCGGGCTGCTGTTATTTATTAACGATGATTAATGTAAAGGCTGTTGGTACATCCATGCAAGTTTTTATTTATTTGTGTGAAATCTTTTCTCAGTTGATAGATTTTACAAAACATTACACATGGTTGGAATCAATCCCACTATGCACTGGGGAAAAAGGCTAGGAAACACCCTGGACAGATCAATAGTCTATCGCACGACTGACATTCACTTCTACACATCTCCAATTCCCCTGACCAGCAGGTCTTTGCACTGTGTGGGATTACATAAGGAGGAACACTGTTCTGTGACAGCAATGGACATCAACAGAACAGAGGCCTTACGGTCAGAGCTAAATATTTTTAGTATGGAATTACTCCCAATGCTGTACTGCCATCTCTTATAGTGTTAGCTATTCTTGATAGATGACAATGACCCATCCTTTTTATATTTCTTTTTAATTTGTGACACTATTCATCAAGGCAGTCTTCATGGGGTAAAAAAACCCCCACACAACTCTGCCTTGTAATCATAAAAAAAAAAGTGATTAAAATAATTTCTCCTTTAGTAAAAACTTGCCTGGCTTCTGGTTTGAATTTAAGTTAAAGATAAGCTCAACACCAAAGGGGAAAAACAGGTTAACTATCAGGACCTCTGATAAAGCTTGAACTAATCGCTGTGCCCTTTCAGGGTATCCGATGTTTGCCTGATCAGAATGTTAAATACGAGGGCTAATGAAGGGGAAACATTCACATATTTAAACCACAAACACCCCCTAGCAAGTGGTGTTTAATGATGCAGATAACACAGGCTGTTGTTGAGGCCCTTGGGTCAGTCTCCCTTAACCAATAAAAGTGTTACTTCCTGTAGCCAAGCAGTAACGTCACATCAGTTGATACATCATGGATATACAGATTCACGCAAATCAGAAGAACTTTATTTTATAGAACCGATGTTTGTTTCGACTGGTGTGAAATAAAAAAACAAACTGCAAAACTGGAAGGTTTAAATGAAGTTACATATTTGCAAATCAAGCTGGGATTTATCAAACAAAGAGATGGGCAAATGGAGAATCTAAAAACAATGAGATTAAAGAAAAAAGGGGTTTAGAAGCAAGGGGACAAGACTGCTGCAGAATAAAATTGAACTTAAACCGTACAACTCAAACAGATATGGCCTGCAACTTCCAAAGGTTATACAGGTAATGTATGACTGACTGTAGGAAATAAGACCAGACAACTGTATTATGAAGCAGCCAGTATCCTTTTTTTAAAGTAAAATACTATAAAAATTTAGGTTTTTGGAGCCTGGATAGTTTAAGCTGTCTTTTGTATGGCTATAAAAAAGGAAAATGAATTAACGCAAAAAAATACCCAAATAGTCAGCTGCATGTGAGCATGAACACTCGAGTGACCTGCGGGGCTTTACGTGGCAGCAGAGAACACAGCAGCTTATATAAGCAGCTCTGTGCACACTCAGTCCAGCGCAGGTTATGTAATAAGGTCTATAAGAAGGGTGTAGAAAAAGAGGCCCACCCCACAGTTCGGCTGAGAGTTGTGGTTGCATACAGGCCCCTTTTTGCTTTGTCCATGCGCTGCTGAGGACATTTACACACTCACATGCACTTGCTACTTACGGAGCTACTGAACCATGCTGTGTGGTTATAAAGCAAGTGTGTGGACTAACATCGTTTGACTTTTTTATTACAATAAATACAACAACAACAAAAACACAGAATTTTGTAGGTATGCAGGAAACAAATGTGCAGTACGAGAATGTTTTCTGCGGTTGCCATGATGAGGTGTGCCTGCAGGCACCACAAGTTGTGTGGAAGATGTGGTAGCCTAAGTAGGTCAAAGGTGACAGCACAAGAAATGAGTGAAACCTGGTTCTTAAAAGCACCAGTTCACTCAAATTATGGACATATTCCCTACAAGTTTAATAAAAGTTATAAAAAAATTAAAATAAACCTCTGTCTGAAATACATGTAAAAAGAATATTCATAACTAGGGCTGGATGATATGGTAAATAATCATATTGCTATTATTCTGACAGAAATTAAAAACTATTGAACTCACAATATTAAATTCTTTGGGGTCTAACGTGGGGTCCAAACGTAAATGTCTTAAATCTTATAAACAAGATTTGTTGGCCAGAACATCTCTTCAGAACTACAGTCCTTTAATATTAATGCCGTTTTGTCACATTTTACCTGTATGAAAAACTTCTGATTTGCATATTGCACTTGGCCATATTGCAATTTTGATAATATTTCGATTTATGGAGCAGCCCCATTGATAACCCTTGTAAATAAAGTATAGCAGTCTCCCAGAGCTGTGTATTGGTCCCCAAAACGCCACTGCGGTGCACGGTCAATATCTTGCTCTCATTTCTAAAACTCATGCCAGTGTTTGCTCCCCACCACTTAAATTAAATCACATCTTGAGCAGATGGAGGGCATGAAGGCTGTGCAAAAAATTTAACACGTAACTTGACAGCATGTTGGTGTGTGCCATGTGTGAGTATTTATTAACAGCAACCCCTCATACCCGTGCCTGCCATCTCACATCTTTATCTCACCTTTTTTTAACAACCCCATGACCCCCCCCACCCGACGCCAGCCATCTGTTGATAACCCCTGCTAATCTGGCGGAGGTCAGAGCGCAGGCAGCCAAGTGTCCTCCACGCTCGCACTCCCCCCACTGCCTTTCACTTTCTTCTTCAAAAGGCTGCCAAATATGGGCCAGTGTGGGGGTTGTGCACGGGGGTGGGGTGGGTGGGAGAGTGAGATGGACAGGGAGGAAGTGTGAGCAGGGATAGTTTATATGTGACGGCGATAAAAATATGGCAAGAGAGCAAAGCTGATGTCTTTATATCTGATAAGGGAGGGAAGAGGCTGTGAGAAACAGCCGAAGGGTCGGACTATGGGTGAACTGGGGAGCGACAGAGCTTACTGGAATGCCAGGCGAACCCTGGCCAAAGCAGATACATGTCAGTTTAATGAACAGCTCTTGTGGCGTGCTGTGTGCGTGAGACTGAGAGGGCAAGAGCAGCGTGGCGGAGTTTAAAAAGACACCAAACTAATTTTCCTTCAAGTCTGCCCCCCCCCCCCTCCTCATCCATGGCTCGCCCTGTGGTATCAAACACTTGCAGCACCGCCTGGGGTGATTATAACATCTACGATATCACACTAGACACTGTGTGTAAAACAACTTTTTTGGACAGGTTCCGAGGCCTGTGAATGCACTTGCTATTTATAACTTCAAAACAAAACTGGGGCTGGGGAATACTGAGTCTGGATCTAGACTTGTCAAGGCTTGTTACTTTCTTCTGACTAGTGTGTTTTTTTTGTTCTAATCTGGAGAGGTGAGAGAGTAGGGAGCAACTTTTTTTATGGGTATTGTGTTTCTAAAAATGATAACATCGCATTTTGGGTACATGTGATAAAAAAAATTCCGAAGTGCAATTTATATTCTTTCAAAAAGTATTACAAGTATCCCTTTGAATACCAGCTGCAACAGTGACTCACAATGATGACATATTCTTGTGAAAACAAGACCTATGAGGAAAACACCCAAACACAGGGCTGTTGCACAGTTTCCAAACAGCATCTGCAGAAATGTCAAACGGAGGGCTGAGCTTTTGTTAGGACAGAAATGGCCACACACAATTGAAACAAAAAAGCACAACAAAAGTTATTTTGAGTTGAATGGGGGCAGTGACAGAGGTCCAGGCTGTCGCACAGAGGGTCCCTGAGGGCAGGCACAGAGCAACGCACAGCCCCAGAGCTGCTAGATCACATTTCCTGCCTGGTGCTCAGCCAGAATGACCTATAGTAACCCCCGGAAGCACCCAGGGAAGAGGTTACTACAGGGCATTACACTGTATCACTGTATTGGAAACAAAGTGATCAGATTATGCTGAGGGAACTCACTAGCAATGGCTTTTTTTTTTTTTTTTTTTAAACCAGCATGTGCTCCTCATTGCATGTCATAAGGAAATAAAAGTATATTTTAATAAACAGATTAAATATTTGTTCATAGGTGGTGATAAGTTTATAAGTTGATTTGCTTGGTAGAGAATGTGTTATAAACACTGCAAAGCAGTTAAATACAATCGTATCTGTTCACATGCCCATAAAGAAAAAGTGATAAGTTCCGTGAGTCAGATCTGAACAGTGTCTATGCAGCACCTACGTTAAAAAGGCAAGTACCTAGTCTGTTCCTGCAGAATCAAATGGGGCTCCACGAAGAACTTCACGCGCAGCCTCAGCCGACAGGGTGCCACATTATCCATCTGCTGGCAGATGCGGTTCCTCAGATTCAGCCACAGATTCTCTCCTTTGCTGCCTGTGAACTGCAGGCCAAAGTAGTCCACTTCAATTATGCCCAACTTTCTGCAAACCTGGAGAAAGATGAAAGAAATAGGTTAAAAAAAAAGTGGAAGAAATTCAAAAATGATCCTTAAACCAACTGTTTGGGAAAGACAAAACAGTGGTTGCCTGCATCTTTTCACAGCAAGATAATACAAAGAGCAGAGAGGTAACCTAACATCATGATTTTTTGAGTTATGGCATCATTAAATATCCTTGAATAAGACAATCCATACTGGCTTTGAACTCCTAGTGGAGGATGGCAAGAATCAACACATCTCAATAAAAGGAATCAAAACAGTTTGGAGGAGGCTGGAGAAAAGGGAAGTGCTTTTATCTGTTTGTTCTTTGCGGTTTCTGCTCCCCCCCCGCTACTCACAAAGATATTCTAAAGCTCACGATAGGGTGGAGGTGAACTTGGAGGCTTTCCCGGGGTAAAAGGGGGTTCATCAAACCCACAATCCCACGCCCCCTTAACGGCCATGAGGTTCTTACATAACTGCTGGTTGACTGCAGGGAGCCCGGAGGCTGAGATAAAAACTCATACCCACAGCAAGTTGGGGGGGGGGTATCCCATGCATGTGAAATACATTTTACATGCCCAACTACTTGCGGCTATTGATGAAAGGAAAAAAGTTTGCATGCATCTCTGACCACATCCACTGTGGAGGGAACCGGACGACAGACGTTAGATTGAAGTTTCGGTTTGACTGACGCGAGGACGCAGAGTGCTTTGCGAAGGCAGAAAAATGAACTCTAGTAACCTCCAAAGCCATCCACCTCTGACTAAGCCATGCAGGTGGAGACAAGCGCTTACACCATCCAAACTTTCCTGCATGTATATAAAGTCATACATTCAGACTATGAATCGACATCTAAAAAAAAAAAAAAAAGGTTTGTTATTGTTACACACAGATGTAACATTTTGTGTGCACGTTGCGCGCAGAAGAACATTTTGTGACCGCCGTCCTTATTCATGAGCAATACTGAAGCGGATGTATCGATAGTTGTGGGTTCTGCTGTTTGTAGATGAAGTTCACAGTGAGTATTATGTCAAGTAGCGAATTAAGTCTTAAGCTTAATTAAGTATCCCTCGACGGGCAGAGACTGGGCTCAGTTCCTCATCTTATTTACCACAATATATTTCAGTCACACACACGTAAGCGACGCGTCGTTTTAAGTTAAAATAGAATATCTAAAGTTTCACAAGACAACCAGAGCACTGCTGCCCTGCCTCACAATGACACTAGGGTTGTTGTAAATATATTACAATAACACAACGTGATGTGTATTCCACCACAGCCTACCTTATTCAGACAGTCTTCACCGTTCGCCTTCGCGTCAACTTCCACTTCCATCACCACCGAATCTGGACGAGTAACGTGGCAGAGCATTTTGGCTGTGTCTCCTCTAAATCTTTGGTGTGCCACACGTATTTAAAAATAATTTAAAAAAAAACAATTCTCGAGCCCTTCTCTGAAAACCCCCTACATCAAGCCTTCTTCACTTTCTCAACCCTTCCACTCCGTGTGGCGGAGCTGTGGTCACCAGCTGTAGGCTATATCAATGAAACGCCACGCAGAGCACCGCCTACTTACAGCCGTCCAATGGCGGCCGTTTTGACACGGTCGCTCGCAAACGCTCAACCAATCGGAAGTCGCGTTACATCCGCACGCTGTTCTGGCTCGAGCTCACCTCCCGTGCCTGGAAGTGTGAGGAGTCCGCTGCGCCCTCATCTGGCTCGCCTGTTGCAGGGACCTGAAGTGACTTCAGCTCACCTGCTTCTGATGAATTAGACATTTCAGCGAACTTCAGCAGGCCTTAAGGGTGAGTTTAATGGCGTGTATACGGTTCTCCCCCCCTCGGTTTGTGTGAATAATATATGGGAATGTAGTCCAGAAATAGCTGTGATAACGCTAAAACATCCTGCCTTTGCTAATCTGCAGCTGCTCAAAGCTTTTTATGAATTTTTCATGATGGCGGCCCCCTTGTGTTTTCCAACTCCGTTCCTAGTGCCTTTTTTCCTAGTGTAACAACACTTAATCTTCTGCTTTTCGTCCTCGAACTGAAAAAAGAGATTGGCTACATCTTTGAATTGATGCTATAGTCTGCTTTTTCAAGATGAGGAACAAAGAGTCAAGATGAAAGTGTCTGTCCTGTCATCAGTGCTGATATGAAGCCTAATCAAACGTATAATGAGATTGCTGTGATGGACGTTGTTTGTCATCAAGGCACATTTGTAGAACCTCTGAACTCATCTTTTCATCCTGGGTATTTAAATATTGCTCTTTTGTCTGGTTCCTATCTTGGTGATCACAGGTTGAAGCTTTTCTTCACTGATTTAAAACCAATTATTACATGTTTATTCAGCCTCATCTCTACACACACACACACACACACACACACACACACACCCTTTTATGCTATGTTATTCCACAAAATCCTACTCTATTATGGTATATTCAGCAGCCGAGTGTTGTGTTATTTCCACAGTGAGATACTGCCTAGGCCAGGAGACACTGCAGAAAACCGCAGTCACACACTCATACCTACACTAGGGAGGCATGGTGTTAAGCCAAGCCATGTTTGTCTGCCAGGGGACATTTTAGAGTAGAGGCAGTGTGCCTCTCCATATTTCTGTACTCTCCCACCACTGCATTCCTGACGTAGCATCAGTGACTCAGATGGAGCTCCTAAACACAATCACTTCACCTCAGTTATTGAAGCATTTACTTCGAATGAGTGTGAGATGAGATTTAAATTTACATACTGTATGTGTGACTGTGTGTGCATCTGTTTTTTTTGTCTCTTTATCTGGATGTTTGTTTTTTTAACCATTCAAGATAAAAAATAGTGCTGATAAGAGCTATAAAAAGTGAGTGATGCACTCTGATTGGAATACAAGTAATTGTTTGTAATAGTAAAAGGTTGGTGTTCAGGTTGATTTTAACTAGGGGAATCAAGTTGGAAAGTATATGTAACTTTGATTGGTCCACAGAGGATCCTGCATTTATTAATTTATCACATCCATATCTCAAAAACATCAGTGATTTGATTTTGACCATGTTTTGGTTAATGAATGATTTTGCCAATCCACTGAGCAACAGCAGTTTTAATATGACCTCATTCTTACAGAGCAAGGTGTGATATATTAGGGTTCAAAGAGTGACTGCACACAATAGGCCACACCATATTCACCATGAAAGATGAAATAAAATGTGTGGCAAACATTTTCTAGTGTCTGTGTGTGAACTGTTTAGAAAGGTATTCTCATATCTGCTACTGATTTGGGATCCAGTAACTGTCTCTTCGTCTCAATGACATGCAGCCCCCTACGCACGAAAATGAACTCAACAGACTTAATCAGCTGTGTCTTTCCGTCTCTGATATGGTCAGGCATGCTGGAGTCGGCAGTCGCTAGTGTCCTTTTGCCCCGTGATGATGCAAGACGATGAATGAACAGAGGGACGTGCAGTCTGAGCAGACCTCATAACCATAAATGGAAAAAAAAGGAGGATAGCGAGTGATCTAACGTCCACTGTCGACGTGGGACTGGAGGTACTCATTGACCAGGCACACGCACATACAGCCACACGCAGGTACACTCGTGTTCTCTACTACAAGACATTGAGCACTTGCAGGTACACAGCTGAGCTGGTGGGAGTCTGTTTTTATTTCGTCCTCTCCATCCCACAACCCTCTAAATTACAATAAACAGATATGCATGCAAAAGTAAACTCAGTGACACACAATGAACTGTTCTCGGTGATGCACTGACAAACGTCTGTTGTGGCAATATTTATATATTTTTTGTTATACTGTTATATAAATATACTATATTTATAGCATTGTGCACACTAACAGATTATAGAAAAACTAGATGCTCACATCCAGTTATCACCATTTAGTTAAAGTTATTTGTACCTTTTTAATTATACTTATACTTATACTTAATTATACAAAAAGCAACAGACATTATTTTTATAAAAATAAAAAAAATATTATTTGAAATTGAATACCAATACAATAACTGCAAGAAGAATTAGAGGGAAAAACAGAAAACAACATTTATCTATTAAGACTCCGTTTTTGCACATCTAGGTCAATTTTTGGGGTAGGGCAACTCTTTTTTTTTTCATACCATCTGTAGTCTCGCACAAACACAGACCATTTGCAGACTCCTGGTTCGCGGCTATGTATGACATCATGCAATGTGACATCACTTCCCTCTGAGGCAAGTCACCGCTCACTCGACTGGAGCGTGAACACATAGCCATGAAGGGGTTTTTGTGTGTGTGGGGGCATGTGGGCACATGACATCAGAGCGTCATCGCTGCCCATCTCCATAGCAAAAGCTGAGCCTCTTGAAGCAGAGATTATGTCAGAAAGTGCCATGCTTGCAGAGCTGCTGCGGCTGTTGTTGTTGTTGTTGTTGTTATGGTAGCTTTGATTACATTCCTTCATTCCTTTCAGTCCATCTCTTAAGTCGGAAAGAAGAGCAGCAATCGGAAGCTGACGAATTAGGTAAAAGGAGGGACTTGTTTACAGAAGTAAGTATGAGGAAAGGCCACAGGGCGAGCAGCTCCTCTGAGTCCGAAGAGAATCTACGGCCATGGCCACAGGATTCCAAAGATCAGTCGTCACCATGTGGATGCTCGTCAGATGACGATTCATCGTCAGATTCAGATGTGGAGGCAGACTGTGCAATGAAGAGGAGCCGAAGGTTCAGCAGCTCTTTGAGCTTCAGAGATGATCATCAGTGTCGGTCAAAGAATGAGGACAGAGAAGAAGAACTGTCACCAAAAAACTCTAACGGAGTACCCGTCACAGAGCTGGTGGAGGCAGAATTGGCAGCAGAATGCATGCGGCTGGAGAAACGGGACACTTTTTGTGACACAAATCAACCTCCAAGGTCAGGTTTATTCAGGCCTCAGGCATTATGGCTGGCCATGACGAGATGTCTCTCCCTCCGATGGCCTCCTTGTCTGTCCATCAACAGACAAAGTAACAGGAAGCTAGCCTACCAAGTGGACCTTGACCAATCGGAGGACACGCAGTCGTCCATCAGCTCCGAATCAACCAATGAGAGCTCTTCAAGTGCATCTACTTTAGATGATATAGGTGTTTTATTGGTGAAACACGAGGAAGAGGAAGTCAGAAGCAGAGGGGTTAAAAGTGGTCCCCCCCCTCGTCGCGGAGTGTCTCGTTCCTCCCCCAGGTTGCCAAGAGCCAGACAAGCTACAGACTCGGTCTTGGCTTCAATGATCTTGGAGAAAGAAATGTTCTTGAGGATTGAGCTGGTAGATTCAGGCGATGAGAGCGAAGATTTACGCTACCGGGCAGAATGGAAGCTGTCAGAGAGAACTAAGGAACTGGCAGAGGGAGTCTGGCTCTCTCGAAGCCAAAAATTGATGGATTGACCTATCAAGTTAGAGGTTTGATTGCCTTTGATGGGATAGTCTATATATTATTCACCCATCAAATTAGATTTGTTATTGAAACCATCAGTAAATCGGTTGTTATAATTATCTTAGTTTGTGTGACTGCTGATTAGAAGTGGCCTAGATTTCAGTGAATAATCAGTAAGATTGGTTTTGCATGATGGCTGTGTAAACTGCTGTGTGCGGATACAAACTGTGCTGATACAAATGCAGTGACTGTAGCTAACTAATTAGAAAGGCTATTTTCAGAAACGCAGCACAGTCAGAGTTAATGTTTGTTTTTCCGCCTTTCTGGGTCTCTCAGAGAACATTTTATACATGGCTGGTTCCATGTGTGGGAGGCAAGGGAGACCTAACAGAATATGTCATTTATGTATTTATGAATAAAAGCCTTTTTTGGTGATATGGGTTTTATATTTTTTAAATAAGAATTTATCCTATAACAAAGACAGGTAGATTGTGTGTGTGTGTGTGTGTGTGTGTGTGTGTGTGTGTGTGTGTGTGTGTGTGTGTGTGTGTGTGTGTGTGTGTGTGTGTATGTAGTGATGTTGGAAAGGGCCACCCCCATTGCCGGATCATGTTCAAATCTATGTGAGGAGGATTTGGAACATTTGATTTTGTTTCTCACTGTCAATTTCATGAACATTTTTGAATTTTAAAGCTAAATAGGATTTCTAGACACTGTGCATCTGAACAATAAAAGAAAAGCAATGTATTTTCATATAGATACCAAAGAAATTCAACACAGGTTACAGCCCAAGCCTAACTGAAAACCCTGGTCACTCTGTGCCAGCTGTCTTTAGTAAATCTGACTTATTTGTTTAGTCATTTGGTGATTTGTGTTTTTAAAAGTCTCAGACAGCCTTTCAATGTCTTGGGGGTTGTGTGAGTAAGAGCATGATGGGAATTATTTAAATATTCATAGCTACATAGTAACTACATTTCCAGAGTGCTGTCTCTCAGCCGAAGAGAATTATGGGGGGGGGGGGTTAATCAAAGCTCAAATCTAACAGCCTTTCATTACAACATTATGAGACAAAAGAAGTGAGTATAATGTGGTTTCCTCAAATTCTGACAGCCAAACTCTTCTGCACTTTTTTGAAG